AAGAACATGCTTTTCTTGCTTTTTCAGCATCTACAAACCCAAAACGTCAGACAATTCAGTGGAACAATACTTGCTATAAAATACTAAACCCCAAAATCCACCTATTTCTGAAATTACAGCAAAAGCAGATGGTGTATATTTCCTTTAAATTCTATTAAGGAAAATTGACAGCTTTTTCTTTAGCTCATAGGAAAAAAATTAATAATCACTGTGATCTGAGAAAAATACATTGTAAATAGGGCCACTGATTCTTCCGTTTCAAAATTATCCATTTTTCTTTTTAAAACTATAAACTGTGTAAGTAAATTTGTTTCCCATTTTATCCTGTGTCAGTTTTTTTAGTCGTTTTTTTTTTCCTGGCTACAGAACATGATTGAATGAACCCGCCCAATGTACATTATGCTTGGAATTGCAATTTATGTACAGAAATTGTGTTATTTTCAATGATTTTATGACTTTTTGTCAACACACCAGCTTAATTCCATTTCAGAACATGAATTTTGTTAATTCTATCGGTATTCCATTTTTTGGCAGAAATCAACGGCCCGAAAAACCCTGTGGCCATGAGCCATTTCATTGGTGTACTGTACATGTGAATTCTTGTTTTGAACAATAACTAAATTCTTTTACAAATTATAAATTGGATTTCATTTTTAAAAAAAATGGAGAATACAAAGAATTTCAAATCAGATTGACATGCCTATCAGTTCTGTTTCCTTGATGTAATTTAAGGCCCAAAAAAAAGTCTCCGGTTTCTGGTATGCGCGCGCGTCGCCGTAGCCATGCGCCTCGGCAAAATGAAAACGTTTTTTTTTCAATACAAGATGATGTTTCAAAACCGCCAAACTCACTGGTTTGACTGGAATTCTGCTGCTGCACAATTCTAACGTGTTTTTAGAAGGGGTTATGATCGAGAATAAGATTTATGTGGCCTCTCTGGACTTCCTTAATATTTGCACTAAGTTTAGTCGGGCACCATTTGCAGTCATCAGCCGACATTTGAAGCCCCCCCCCCCAAAAAAAAACCAGGTAAAAAAAAAAAAAAAAGCCGCGTCGCCGCACCACTTTTGGGGCAAGCTCCATACCAGAAACCGGAGACTTTTTTTTTTTGGCCTAATCTTATTTTCTTTTGACATTATATGTTTGCTTTGATTTATACATCGATAAGCTTAGGGGAAACCCATGTTATTGCCTTGCGTGATGATTCATTGGTTATCACTGCAGGTCATATTTGCTAATCAATGACCTCCACAATTGCTTAACATAAATTGTCCACATTGGTCACCCCATGCCATGGCAGGATGGGCATGGAAAGACTGTGTTGGTATATAATGAGTCATAGAGTCAGCGAGATATTCAGAATATGCATTTTAAGACCTTGTTTTTATTAAGCTTTCTGTAACTCACATACACAAAATACATTAGGCCTATCTTTTTCATTCACTAATTATATTAAAATATGCCCTTTTATAAGGCACTTACAAAATGGAGGGAAAAGCTTCTCTCTTTTTTTGCGTTAAAATTGAGTACACACGTGTAATACAGCAAATGGTATGCTACACATGTACATGTACATGTACACACCACAGTATGCATATTGACAGTGTGAAGGTAGAAAGACCATTTAATTTATTGAACATTGAGTGGCAATCAAACTAATGATAAATGGAAATACATGTAGGCGGACATAATCAGCTTGATAGGGCAGATAATAGAAGTACATGTACAATGGACCCAGACACAAACATAAGATAGTAAGATTCAATTGTACGGTAAGTTCATAGGGGTTGAAATAGACAAATGTTTGAGAAGAATTGGTTGGAACACTTTTGAAGCATGGTGTCATTATGCGGATGATAATAGATAATGGTGACTGTCACGTCCTTCAGGAGAATGCACACTCTCTGTGAGTGGTTTTCACACCTTGATTTCTTTCCCACTAACTATTCCTCAGACCCACAAATAATCCCGTTTATAAAGCAGAAAGGAAAAGGAGGAGGGGGGGGGTAACATACTGTAAAAAAAAATGGGGGAATGATGGAAAACAATTGAAAAAATATAACCGAAAAAAAAAAAACATATTAAGGCCCCCCCCCCCGCCAAAAAATACTTGATCTCTGGTCAGCGCGCGCGTCGATTTTAATCATGCGCGTCAACCTTCTTTTTTTTTTCAAATTAACACGGAAGCTACAACTTGGTACAACAATTTTTGTACCAAGGAGCACCAAGGAATGGGGAAATTGCACCAAGGCAAATGATAAAGGGCACCAAGGCAAATTATGGAGGACACCAATGTATAATGAGGACACAAAAAAGCAAAATAGTACCCACCTTGTCTGTACAATACAAGCTTGGAGAAAAAAAAAGCCACCAAAAAAAAAAAAATGCGGCGCCGCATCAATTCCGGAACTTCGGTCTGACCAGAGACCGACTATTTTTTTTTTTTGGTCTAAAGGACAGTTTGTACTTTTCCTATATATGTTATGTATTTTTCCTACATTTTTCATAGCTTGATTCGTTGTACAAGCAGTATATGAAAAGTCAAGGTCAACATTTCTTATCTCTACAATATTAGCATTTAAAAGGAATTTTTTGCAGGTACATACATGTCGGCTCAATAGATTATGAAAATGGTGAAGATAATGAAAAACTAAAAAATAAATGAGATATCGTTGACAGTAAATAATGACACAGTATTTATTGTCAGTTTGTACAAATTGTGTTTCCTACAATGGTTGACGTGTTTGCGTGCGGGAAACGTCTGCGCTGAAAAAAAAGACGTTTGTGTTATGTAACTTTCAATTTGCCAATAAGAGGATTAATGACACTGCGAGCATTTACAGTGGTCTACATGTGCCGTTGTAATGGGACGCAGTGTGTTCATGGACACTTTTGGAGACCATTCAGAAATCAATTACATAGATTGCCCATTCGTACATAATTAATGAAAGCGGTCTAGTTGGAAGGTATTTTGTAATGAAGAAAGTGCCCTGTTAACAACTTAAAACAACCTTTAGAGGTTGAATATTAATACTAGAGTAAATGTGTTACTCTGCCAGACATATTCAAATGTACTTACTCTGCAGTTGCCTTTTTGTAATGAGCTTGACTTGACACAGGTCATTACAAGCAAAGGACTCAAGACACTAAAGTTCCATGCTACAATCAACTCACTTTAAACCATTGCTATGACGTCACACTATTGTTAAAACTGTGGATTCGGATCTACGAATCTCTTACACTGGTCACAAAGTGTGGATTCGGAACGAAGAATCTTTCGTAAAGAGTGGATTCGGAATTAAGAATCCACACTTTGAACATGTCGGACAATTGTTCCCCATAATGAGCCTGAATAGGACCGTCTGCGTGAAAATTTGTTTTCCGAGAATTACCAATGCATCTTCACTGTCACATTCGCCGCCGTCACTGCAAAAACTACTTTAAATCAGAAAGAAATCGTCGTCTGAACTATCCATTTTGTCGTAAGGAGCCTATACACACAAAATGGCTTGGTTGTACGGGTGTGGCGATACACATGCTAAAAATGCCAGGGACAAATGTTGCAAACTGACGCCACTTCCGGACTTGTGTACGAAGTCTATGGAGAGTCATTTCAAGTATTTCCTAACAAAATTTGAAACATTTCTCAGTCCAAGATTCATGTATTATCATCATTTTTGCAACGAATGACCTTCATTGAGATGATATATGGAGCAAAAAGTGGCGTCAGGTTGCAGCATTCTTTCCAATACTTCCGTTGACGCAATGGTTTAAGTCGAAGAATACACTCGCAAGTGTGGATTCTTAATTTACGAATTCACTCGGCGCTTTGCGCCTCGTGAATTCTTAAATTACGAATCCACACTTTCTCGTGTATTCTCCTTAACTGAATCAACTCAAAAAGCTCAACACAACACTCATGTGTTCAAGACCCACATCTCGTGGCTACACTCATTGGGATGTGGTCCAAATATTGGATTATGATTTGACAAAATTGAACTAAGGTGCACTTTCTTTTGTACCCTTTTTTTTCTCTCTTTTTTACAAGAGATTAGTTTTGTAGTTTAATATTTGTTGGATATAAAAAAGATAAAAATTTTTTTTAAAAAGGGATAAATAAAGGGGAAAATAAGTTAGACTTTTGAAACTGAGGTAGAAAAAGGGACTGTTGACAAAATAGGCCTGAGTGAAGAGGGCATTGTAACAAGGCCATTTTTTTGGTACAAACAGTAGAAAATAACCCCCATCGGGTATTCTTCAGGTGCCCTGCTAAATGCAACAATATCCAAAAAATTGAAATGAGAACCCTGCTCACTGCAACAAACTGCAACAGTGGATTCTGTTGTATTGCGCAGTGAACCATGATGCAACCAAATGCAACAGTGGATTCCATTGCATTCTGCAGCGAACCCAGTATACACCAAGCCTTGGCACCAAGCAGTTTACTCTGGTAAATGCACCAAATGTAACAGTGGATTCTGTTGTATTGCCTTGGACCTATGAGCAGTTACCCTGCTATTGTTAAATGCAACAATATGCAACAAGGCACAAGGACTTGAGTTGGCTGCTAAATGAATATGCAACAACTTTTTACCTTTGTAGCTTTCTGTTGCATTTAGTAGAGGGCTAGGCTTATTAACGCAGTTTTGATACCATTACTTAAGTCTTAAAGTTAAACGTCTAACTTAGTCCGTCTGACTTGCTGTCATTTAGAGGAAAACAAAGAATGTAGGGGATTGCCAACGATCAATCAGTTGACTAATTTTTTTTAATAAAGAGTGCTTTTGACGGAATCATGTTTCGTGATCAAAAGGTTGTCCATGGATTTTCACTGTTTTCTCGTAAATACCCACTAAGCTGAAACTTCTCCAGTCTAGGTATTGAACAATCTTCGTGAACATTTTGAGAGGTGTTATTATTGGAAACGAACAAAATGCATGAAAAGCAAATAATGCGATTAAGCTTTCCGTTTATTTCCCCTCTCTTTCTTTGATCTGCAGAGAACACTTGCCAGCAAGTTTGAAGAGACATTTGAGGAGACCCCATTGCACATCGCACTCATTACCTACTTTGGCTTCTTGGTTCTGATCCTCGTCGGTTACATCAAGGAACATCTGTGGAGATGGGGGATTCTGAAGAAACCAGGCTCAAAAGAGTCATCCAAGCTTAATGTAAGTCTTTGGAATGACCCCAAATTGTGTAAAATGGAACATTCCAGTTTTAGTCGTAAGCCCCGCCCACTTTGCACATAGGACACAACACATGCGTCTCCTAATGGACTTTATTCACGAGTCGGCTATATTAAATTGAAAGCAAGGTGAAATCTTCATTTTTGGAACTTGCGAATAGATATGAAAGTAATGAAATGAAGCTAATTATACCAGTCTGCTCTGGTGAATAATTATAAATTTGTGATTAATCATGCCCTATTTTTGTTTTAAGCCACATTTAAAAAAAAAAATGAGGGTGAGGCTTGGAACGCATAAATAGTCTGGCACCATCCCATGCAACAGTTTACAAGGCCTATTTACACAAATGGAATTTTGTCGCAATGACTATAGTCATTGCGATGTCGCGCAGTGATGTCGCACACGCGCGTGTGTGAACAAATACGCGATATGTTGTGCGATTTTTTAATCGAAAATGTGGCAGTTTCTTTCCATATGTTGTCCATTCTTTGATGTCTGTGATAGTCTTTGTTGGATGTGTCGTACAATTCACGATATTTCTGCACCTCGGTAATAATTGTTTTCGTCCATTTTGTACAACCAATCAGTTCAGGCACTTGTGACATACGTACCGGTATGTGATTTTTTTTTGTCGCGCGGGATAAAATCCAACCGAATTTAATTTTCGAAACTTGTGAGATAAGTCGTACGACTTTGTCACGTAAATGTAAATGCGCTCATTGATTTGTGCATATCGTGTACATGTACATGTACATGTAAATAAAATTCAGGGAACACGGTAAAAAAAGGCTTCCTCCCGAATAAGGTCTATGCCACACTGCATGTTCCAGCAACGCGTGTCATGTGTAAGTTTTTGTTTGACATTTGGTTGCACAGTTTATAATGACTGTGATTGGTCAAGACAAAATGGGTTGGTGCTTAAAGGGAATATACAACATTTGCAAACATCAAAAAATAAAACTACCAAGTTTTTACAAAATACCCTACTAGGATGTTGGTAAATGACAGTCTAAGGCATCCTGTAAAATTATGGCACCTGGTGTCAAGTCATTTTCAAGAAACTTGTATTTTTGTATACATTTCCAACGGTGGTCGGCCGATCACCGTTGGAAAAACATAACTATTTTTCAACTACTGCTCCAAATTTACAATTTTCAGTCCAAATTTTGTTTGCTATTGGTTACATGTTCATGAACGGGTGCAGGCCAGCTAGACTGGTTCCCTTACCTTACAATTTTCCGACAACTATAAATTGATCCATTTTATCTTTAGTGGAGTCAGGGAACCAGACTACTTGAACATTTTTTGTTTTTCTTGGTTTTTCAAGCGTTTTCGAAACACAAAACTTCAAAACATGTCAGTGTAACAATATTTGATCTAGGCCTATTATACTAACCCCTCAAATAGTTTATTTCTGAAAATTACAGCAAAAGCCAATGATGTACCGGTACATTCCAGGCATGCAACTTTTCCTCGGATCAGTTGAATTTCCTCATTTTTTGTGATTTCGCAGTTGCATGCCTGACATTCCCTTTAAAGGATAAAATGGGAAGTGTATACTGAAAATCAGTCCGTCCTGATTTGAAAATCACAGGTGTGTGGAAAAAGGCACACCTGGATTTTCCTAGGCGTGTGGTTTTTCTAGATGTGTGATTTTCTAGGTGTGTGATTCTGTGGTCCAAGGAAATTCAGGCGTGCAATTATTCACACTTCTCGGGAAGCTTTTAGGCGTGCGATGGCGTGGGGGTGTGATCGCACGCCTCAAATCAGAAGGACTGGAAAATGTGCCAATTGTTACTCATTCATTGGTACCGGTAGGTCCATAAACTATTGTATGAGATCCAGCCGTTTTGTTCCAAACGAAGAGGTTTCGGACTTTTGGGGTTCTACATCATGTACATGTATGTCATTTTTTTTTTACTATCTTGGAGGATTTTTGTGATCATTTTGAAAATTTGTTTTGTAGTCATGAATGTTGAGTATAATTAGTATATCAACATGTGTGGCTTTAAGCTTTGACTATACCGGTAATTGGAAATTCTGAAGGAGACTCTTGAAGTACCAAAAGTCAATTTCCTGTAATTTTGCTGGTAAAAAAAAGGTCGTTATATTCCATTCCGGTGTGCAGGATGTGAAAACAGGATGTTTATAGACGGAATTCATTATAGGATTCAGTTTCCTGGATGAATACCGGGGTACATGTTTACAATGCACACCTGTACAGAAGCAATAAGGTGAACGCAGGAAATTGACAAAAGCAATTAGCTTTTTGGACATACATTATGTACCTCCCATAAAAAATACTGTTTCCAGGGGGGAAAAACGCTGTTAGGTAGAATGTACATGTTGTGAAGGTAATGTTTGCTTGTGTAGTTTTCCCCATACCGTGCGCGATTTGAGACGGAGGGTACTACCCAGGGTCCCCATATCCTATACACATTCATAGATCATTGTTACCTAACACGTCCCCTTAGATACATGTATGTCAAAAGAATTCCTGAGATTCTGGGAACACAATGACCAAAACAAAAGAGGGGGACGCCTCCGTCCCTGAACCCTTCCTCTCTGAACCCTCCCTCTCTGACTGGCAATTTCAACAAGGCCAGCCCAGCAGTCAAATATATCAGGTGGCTTTTTTTTATATATTAAAAGCAGGTTTGACTGGCTGCAATTGTTATAAAACCTGATACGTAGCTGTGCTTTGACTGTAGGAGATTGACAAGCCAGCTGTGCCTACCAGTTACCTGCTTTTGTCTGTTGATGGAATTTGACTGTCACAGTGCCTACAAGAAATATGATCCGCCTGTTGGTGACTAGCCTGTGTAAAAGGCATGGCAGGGCAACAAGATTTAAATTTTGACTGTCTGTGATTCATGAAGCTGCCGGTAAAAGCAGGGATGAATTTTCGGTTTTCATACTTGTACCAGTACCAATGAAAAGGCTTAATGCCATTCTCACAGGGATGCCACTGTGCCTAGGCAATGTGTCTGTCACTTGCATTCATGGGCAGGGCAGTTGCCATTCCTGCTCAAGCCATAGCTTGACAGTGTAAATGTACATGTACTGTACATTTACTTCATGGGCTTGTTGCAAAGCCGTATTGCACAAACCAAATCACAAAGATTTGCTCATTTGATTACACTTTTTAAGAGGTTCCATGCCTCTTGTTGACATTTTTCAGTGTTGGGAGATGTTATTTTATCATTGGATTGTATTTAATTGTCAGTGAATGGTAAAATCCTTATTATTAAAAGCTGCATTTATACATGTACAGCATCTGCATGACACAAAAATTAAGTTATTAAAAGCCATTAATTGTAGTTGCTGTTAGTGTGCTGTAACTGAATTAAATCAACCAGCCGATTCAAGGAAGTGTATGGTTAAGTGTTGAAGACGGTTTTACACCTGTAACTAAACTGGAGGCTATGGGTTGGAATCTTAAAGCAAGCTTGTGATTTATTTTTCTCACAAGCCCTCAGACAGAACCAAGTGTACAAAATTACCGGTATGTGAATGAAGTGCAAAAACTCAGTTTTAGGTTACTGTGTCCTTTTATATTTTGTTGATGTATAAAGAAAGTAGTCCATTTCAGTAAAAAAAATTGCTTTAGTTTGAATCCAGAATTACTTTAAATTTCCCCAACAGCAGAAAAGTACTGGTGTATTACAATTATATCTTTAGGCATAAGGCCAAATCTAAATTGGCAATGAACCAGGGAATCTCTTGTAACGTGACCTAGGTCTTCAAGTCCTGTACCCCAACCATGCACCGGCCTCATGCTATGGTTATATTTAGGGCAGGCCTGGGTGTGATGGGATGGGGTGATCACAACCGATGTTTTGTGTGGACACAGTTGCTTGTGCACACGCTGCTCAGTCAGCTGTTGAATGCACAGTGTGTGAATGGCAGGTGGAACAATGACAGGGAATGTAGGGATGGTGTGATCATGGCACTGTCATCCCTGTGTAGACTGTGGACTAAAGTCTACAGGGTTGTACACGATTGTAGGCAGTGAGACAGGTAGACTAGTGGGCGTTGGCTAGGGCCTGGGAGGAGGGAGGGGGTTTGGAAAAGTATCTGTTTCATTGTTTTTGTTTGTTCCCCCAAACAATCAAACAGAAGGTAAAACAGTAAATTGAAAAGGAGGGAAATCCCTCCCACCTGCCAAAAAAAAGGAGATTTTTTTCTGTATTATAAAGATTTATTACTTTCTTCATCTGATATTTTAGAAAACTGGTTGGTCCCCCGAACCAGTGTGTGTAGTCTAGACCTGTACTATATAAACGACATCTTGTACAGTACATGACACTGAACAATAATTCTGCCTAATTTCTGCAGTAATTGAATTGCTCAACTTTAACATTTGCTTAACTAGCCGCGCACTTACATACGTACAAAAGGTAAAAATAGCATTACAATGCAAGATGCTATCTAACCACTGTGACATATCAGTGGGCTCCCTTGCTTACATTCTGTCGCTGTCAGTGCAAATGTATGTGTGTAAGTGTACATGTACATGTATATGTACGTATGCAGACTGCACAGCTCCCTGAATTGCATTGTTTTGAGCATACCGGTACGGTATGTGGTTTGAGGGCAATTCCGAAAAATCCAACATAGGTCGTACAAGGTCGTTTAAAGGTGATGGTACCTTAGTTTTGTTTATTGTTTTCTACTCATTATACATGTATCAACTATTACTAGTGAAGTATAACAGTCAATTTTCCAACAGCAGCTCATTAAAGTGTCTGACATGCATGCACGTCTGAATTTACAGAACTGCCTTGGAGTCTTACATTAACCATGATACAGTGTATAAATTAATGAGGGTTAATTGGAAATGAACAGTGAACTGTCTATTATTAGATGTTGTCTTTAATGATTAATGTGATTTTGTAGCCTGAAATGAACATCCTTTATTCTTGCTGGGGCAAGATGACAAGATGTGACCACCCCCCCCCCACCCAAAAAAACAACAACAACAACAAAAAGTACCACAAAATAAATAAATAAATACATTTATAGAAACTATATAATGTGCTGCATCCACCTTTTTATAATGAGATGCTCAAGGCAAAGAGATACAATAACTACTGGTACATGTACATCATGTAAGTACAACACAAAAAGGGACGGAACAATATTACACACAAATGAAATTACATGAAGATGATGCAACACTGCAACATAAGGATCAAATGTTAAGGTACCGGTATACAACACATTATAGACATAATATACTCAAAATGTCCACTGATTAAACAGTTTTGTGCATGTTGGAAATGAGAAGACCATAAGACCATCAGTGTTCAACATAAAGAAATCCAATCATCCTGTCAGACACTAAATAGATGATTTCATCGCAAATGATAAATCATCACCATTCACCAACATATAAAATGAAAGCCCTTTATAGGTGATGAGTTTAATTGTGTGTATCCCCCCTATTGCTTGATCAGTCACAGACAGTCAAAAATGTCTTCCACTTCCACTGCCATGCATTTGTGTACAGACTGGTTTAAACACAATCAGATCACACTCCCATTTTAAACACTGTGACAAGTCAAATTCCATCAGCAGACAAAAGAGGTAACTGGTACATGTGCCGGTAGGTACAGCTGGCATCACCTGCAGTCAAAGCATGGCTAGATATCAAATTAAGAAAGAAATTCTTAACTCTTAAAAACAGTTACTCGATTGAGTTTGGCTGCTGTGATGCCAGCGAGAGAAAGCCATTTCTGTGTGTACACGCAGAGGGGGAAATTATGGATGGACATGAGACATTTTCAGATCATAACCCAATTCTGTCCAAACCTGAAACATGTACAGTTGTGCATGTGCCGAGTCCCATTAGTGCATTCTCTAAATATCTAATGAAGAAATTTGACACTCTGCCTGAGACAGCTCAAAAGATGTAAATTGTTCTGGATCAAATTTTGAAGCAGTTTTTGTGTCAAATTTTACCCATGGAAGTGAACTCATTCAACATACTACATGTACATCTAATAGGAGCAGTAGTTCTTCCTTCATTATCCCAAAATTATGCAGACCGTTGAAGAAAAGCGTGTACACACGATGGAAACCACAAAAAATAAAGCCCAGTAATTATCATTTGGGTAGGTCATCAATTGTGATGAATCACATGTTATCCGACAGTGCGTAATTACTGTATACACCTTCATGTACGTACAATTCAGAGTGCCATTTTAGAATTGACAGTTTTATAGTGTTTGTTTATAATATTATGCATGGTGCATGTACGGTACATGTACATGTACATGAACATGTATGGTCATATGGTACATGTCCTGTGCATGCACTACACTGCATAATATAACCATACACGTGCATGCTCGGTACCGGTACGTACACATACATTTGTATGTCTGATATTCTTACATGAGTATTCAAATATCAATACAATTTATCCGTATTAATAACACGGGGAATCTTGTAAGAAATGGGAAATAAATGATGCCGTCCCATAAACAGAAAAGCTTTTCTCATTTTGTAACTGTCACACTATAACTTAGTAATTTTATTATTTTTTTGTGCAAAATGCATCTATTGACCTACATGTATATCGCCGTTTGCTAGTTAGCCACGCCCCTTATACAACTCTATGGCGTTTTTGTACACTAAGTTTTGCTGGTCTCAGATTTTGCACGTTCCGCGTCCGTTTGTATATCATGTAATTGGACAATGTTTCACAAGCTGCGTTGACGTGATTCTACCGCGTTAGGTGAGTTCTGCATACTACGTTAAGTGGATGAGAATTAAATACCTAGAATGAATGTATCGGTAGGCGTGATATTTAATCCTTTAGCACTTGAATTCAATTGTATTACATTGTAATGTATAACATGTACTCCTCCACTATTCTATAAAACCGTAGAGTGCTGGGGCAGATTGAGGCGGTATGAGGAGTAACAGGCAGGGCGGTGGGGGTGGGGGGAGTATAAGTGCTAATGAGTTAAAAAGAAGTTACATGTAAATACCGGTACAGCAACTTACAATGTGGCCCGAGAAGAATGCATTTCAGTTACATGTATACTATAACATAGCTGATGTACGGCAAATTTAGCTAACGTATTAATGATTTTAATGTAATAATACTCATCATCGTCATCGACCATCATCTAATAAATGATGAAAAATGTCAGTGAATGTGTAAATCAGGCCTTGAATTTGGGAATTTTTAGGGCAAGGCCACTTTGGCCTTGAATGGAGCAAAATTATAGAGGGCACCAAGGCCAGTTGGGAGGGCACCAAGGCCAAACTAATATCTGCAGAAGGGGCACAGAGGCCGGCTAAAAAAAATATGCGAATTTATATCGGCGATCATGTAGTTTATGGCCCCTCTTTAGTTTCGATCAAATTTGAGTCAAAGGTGTTTTTTTCATTCAAAAAATTACCTTTTCAACCTAAAGCAGACTTCTCTCAGCTTATATGGCACCTGTTTTGTAATTTTGAACACTTTTGGGGGATAGAAATTACGTTTTTTGTAAGCGGTTTTATGGTTGGTGACGTGCGATCGCCATCTCTATTTTCGTGTTGCGTTTTTTCGTTATCGTTTTCCCTCCAAATTCCCCTTAAAAATTCGAAACCCTTCCCTCTATCTATAACCTACCTGCATGTTCTTAATGTGGCTTAAAAGTTGATTTTGTTCTCTTAGGGAATCGGGCCCATAAATAATACACGATCGCCATTTACAATGTCCGCTTTTAACAATCGGAATTCGAAACGCCATGTGCACGCGTGTTTTTACTATGCCCCGAGCTCGTTTGCCTCGTACACGAACATCAATGTGTTCTGTATGTACCGCGCATGCAAGCACTGAGAAAAAGAAAGTCTGTTGACTGCACGTAAGATCTGCCGTACTTACTCCTGCTGGTATGTGTGTGTACGAATACAGACATATATTTAGCGGGGGTGTCGCTACTTGAAGTATCGGCACATACAGGAACTGGAGATTCAGTTGTCAGTAGTGTACATGTACGTGTGTGTACATCATGTACATACAGTGGGGAATCGCCGGCGTTTGGCCGGCCGGCCACGGCCGTACTGCGCGCGTGTGATTGATTCGGCGAGATATTAAGACAACTGATCGGGCTGGGATGACATCGAAATACATTGTCAATGTGTGGAAAAACAACTGGAATCAAGGATTGTAGTTGTTTTAATAGCCTGATAGATGTTTTTGCAAAAAGGGCACGACGGCCAAGGTAATTATGGGGCAAGGCAAAACTGGCAGTGAAGACAGGGATTTTTTGTGGGGCACCTCGGCCAGTAAGAAGGCAACGACGGCACTGGCCGTCGTGGCCGTCGTTCAATTCAAGCCCTGGTAAATGTCATGAAACATTTGCCTTCCATTAACCTCAAAAGGTTAATTGAAAAATGCTCGCTGAACAGGCAAACCAAATGAAAGCAATGTAAACCAGAACACTGAAGAATTGGTCGCATACACATCTAGAAAAACGTGCTGATGAACGGAGGTTTTTCAATTAGTGTATAATTCAAGGTCATCCAGATTAGGTAGATTAATTCGTATTCCATTGTCAAGCATCTTGTCATTGTGTGTCTCTCCATATGTGCGTCTCTCCATTCAAAATATTATTGAAAATCTGTCTCTCTTTTTTTCCCCATTGTCTGTGCAGGACTTTGTCCCCCTGTTCTCAGATTTTGTGAATTTCTTCGGCCGCAATATCTACATGCGAGGGAGGGACTGTGGACACATTCCGGTAGCCGGCGTCCCTGGTGCCCAGTTTGATATCATGGAGTATTCTACACCGGACTACAACTGGACTCTCAAGTGAGTAGAAATGGACACTATGCAGAAATCTTTCTCACCCCCTTTTTTTGGGGGGGGGGGGGGGGGGCGGGGACGGGGAGTACTTTTTTTTTGGGGGGGGAGTAGTTTACATTGTCAAATAATCCTTAAGAAACCTATTCACATAATAAAACTATTTTCTTTTCCTTTTTTAATATGGTGTGTTTTTGTTCAGGTATATTCTCTGATTGTTTTTGTAAAGAATTTTCTTTAATATTTCAGTAATTTTACATACCAGACATATTCTAGCTAATGTTTTGATGAAAACAAAATTGCAACCACATTTCATCTTTAAAAAATATACAGTGCTTTGAGTTTGAGGCAAGACGCTTTAAAACCTTTCTAAACCTTTATAAACTATTGATACATCATTACTGAAAGGAAATCTCTGGTTATATTAGATGCACTGTATAGCCTGCGTTACACATTTATGATAAATGAGGTCAAATTAGCATGTTCAACTAGATGGGATTTTATGAAATAGCATCTAGAGTGAAGCAGCTTCCATTTCAGTGTAAAGTGAATTGTAATTTGATCAAGGGCAGCAGGCAGTGTGACTGATGGAGTACATGATAGACATTGATAGAGGAGGGGGCCTTCTCTGCAGAATACATGTGATAATTGCATTTATGATGTACAGTGCATGTACATGTACGTACAGTACACATGTGTAGGTGAACAGATTTAAGCCTGTACACGTATGTACATGTACATAGTAGTGCACAGCACCATTAGTGGATGTGGGGGGGGGGGGGGGGGGGGGGACACCACCAAAGGGGGGGGGGCCTGAAGACACCTGTTTGTCTTTAATATTAAGCAAATAATTAAAACGTTGTGTCTCTCCCTTGTTGGCCATCAGCTACCTGTTCCTTTCAGTTTTAATATTACTGTGTGGAAATAGCCTGCGCACAAATACTATACTTTATTCCCTTCGCCTTTTAGAACAAAATACTCGAGCCCTCTTGGCTCCCCCCAAAAATTTGATTCTGGATTCGCCCTTGCACAGAACATACACTGTGTACAAGTACACTGTACATATTGTGTAAATTAATTTGGGGTCCATTTTGTTCATGTCCTGTTACATTTTGTGCATGTACGGTACATCCGACATCTTTGATTTTATAAGTCTGGATGCATCCTCCAAGAGAGATTATGAGTAGCCCTTGCTATATGGAATAGCACACTACCTAGGCCTACTCAACAAATAAAACATTATTTGAAGTCATTCTTAATGACCTTGAGTTCAGAGGAGACAGGAATTTGTAGAATGACCCATGCATACTCTACATGTACCGTATAATGCCATTGCACAAATATTTAATGTACATACATACCATAGAGCTAGGACCCACTGTACATGTACATACTATTCATGTATGTATACAGAGTTGAAGGTTTATGGTGTGCTTTTGATAGCACTAGCAGCGCAATCACAGCCACCCTCTGACTGAGACAGATTTTCATGAACAGTCTCAAACATCAGAATCTAGACTAGAAGAAGCACTGCAGTGTCTTGCTGTGTTGTACTTGATACTTATTTTTGGAAATTCAGAGTGGTTTGGATCTGGCTGAAGCTGTCACGAAATCAATATATATTTTCTTCATTTCACAGTACCGGCACTTGTGGCACAAATTACATTTATTAAATTACAATTTAGGTCAGTTTGTATCAGCAACTCATTAGCATTCTGTGGTACCAGTAATGGTGGGCTGAGTCACCAAATGTTATCATGGAGAGATGATAATTATGCATTTAATGCAATTATAACTTGCAATTTCTTCTACAGATGAGTCGTTTCATACATACTTGTACAAAATTGCAATGCATAAAATTGTTCTATATGTTTTTATATTTTAATTTCCTGAAATTAACAACAAAAGGTATTGATCAGTCCACTTTGTAATCTTGAACTCAGACAAGTGCTACCGGTACATTTAATCCTTATTCATCCATAAATCTAAGATATGTGTACATGTATGTTATTATTTTTGCTGTTACCAGAGAGCCAGCCTCATGTCCTTCTTTTACAGATCTGACTGACTAACTGACTGACTGTAAAGTGCTGTCGTAGAGGATTACCCTTGGCTAAATCTGGCACGATCATTGTGTAGACCAGATGCATGGAAAGATTTGAAATGAATAGCCATTCTGAATCAATTGAATAGAATTTTGTGCACTCTGGGACCAGCTTTATTATGCATGCTTTGTCTGTACAGTTTCTCCCAGTTTCACCGGATAAATAATAGATAAATTTTCCATCATGCATGTTCTGTATGTCATGCACGTTTAAGATGTACATGTACCTACATGTATTCAATTCAGTTCAATTCAATGCAACATTTATTGCTATTCAACCACAAATATACAAATCATATACATAATGAGGCGTTCTGTCAAAATGAGACAGAACCGAGCGCAGGTCGAAACGAGGGTCTGCAGGTATTAGGAAAAAGAATAAAATTCTCTTTACAATACTGTTTGTTGCACTTAATCAGACATTCCGTTGACAAGTTATGGCCATTGAAAGTTCGCATTTATCAACACGTCAAAAAAGTAAAATACTGAGAAAAATATTAAAAAGACCTTTCAAGCTTTGAGTTTTGTATTCCTGAAAATGAAAATGGGGGGGAGGGGGGGGGGGTCATGTTTATCCGCTACGGCCAGTGCCCAGCTCTGTCTCAAGGGAGGATGTATAATGTAGAAAAGGGGGGGGGGGGGGGGGGAAAGGGGTAAAAGAAAAGGCGATTAAGTAATAGCTATTATACAGTAAGCCTACCGGTACATTGTAAGCTTATCATTTCGTTATAAAACCATAGGCCTAACACTATTATAGAGAAGACTCAACTTCATTTCCTTATTGATGTTTTGTACCTGTGCATGTATGCATTCTGTGGGCCAATCAATACCTCATACTGCTCAATCAAAGATAAGTAGAGTCAATATTTGCACTGAAAAAAAGCAAATATTAAATGGTCTATGCTTTGATCAGTCAGTTTGCAAATCAACCAATGGCCAGACATGATTATCGGGAAGATTGTACCGGTATATGTAGGTTATCACTCTGTGTACATGTACCAGGACAAGTAGCTGTTTGCACAAGGCTAGCTGATCTATCAAGCAAATTTACTTTTCACAGTTATCGATTACACTTGTTAAACATAATTTCTGATGATCTAGGATAAGCTGATCACTAGCTAGGGATGATCTCATTTCCTTGCAATGATTATATAGCTGCAAGACAGCCTTTTCTGTACATTTTGTCTCAAGTGTATGACTTGATGCTTCATTGATAAATTTGGAGCGACAAGTTTAGTCTACTGGTGCATGTAGTGTTGAAAGTGGGCCAAAACAATCACCGGAAATATTGTATCTGTACTAAAAATGACCAACTTTGTCTAAGGTTTCAGACACCAGATCATTGTGCCAATTTGTAGTCAGTCAACTCAATGGGAAGGGACACTGAATTTTGTATTTAACTTGACCAAGTATAAATGTAAAACAACGCAAATTGACAAGACATTTGGGGAAAACTTCTCCTCAGCAGTGTTGTACATGTACATGTAGGTCTCGAGACCGGTCTCGGTCTCGGTCTCGAGACCACTTTTTGCCGGTCTCGGTCTCGGTCTCGGTCTCGGTCTCGGGAGCTGTGGTCTCGGTCTTGGTCTCGGTCTCGGTCCCCTTTGGTCTCGATATTTTGGCTGGTCTCGAGTCGAGACCAGCCAAAAAGTGAGGGGGGCGGATTCCGCCCCCGGCCCTTTTAGGGTTAAGTAAAGAATCAGTTTAGGGTAAATGGGACTGCAGTGTGATGCTAATGGACTTGTCTCTCTTCACTTTCTAGTGAGTGAGGCATAGTCCAATAACCATTGCTCCTCTTCTTATTTCTCGTTCTTATTGTGGGATGATCTGTTGAAACAAGCACTTTATAGCCATCCTCATTGATTCCAAATACAACTGAGATTTAAATCTTATGAATCAAGACTGAAACATTATTTTTACCGTCAGATTTTGTATTTTGAATATGGGAACAATTCAACTCTTTTTCCCTAGAAATATTGGTGATTTTTTTTCTATTTTCCTTTTCAATTTTTCCTTTATTCGTGGAGGCGGGAAAACGTTTTTTTTTTCAGTATATTTATTAATGGATATTTATCAATTCGTACGCACGTGCGCACTGAGCCATGAATCCTAAAAGTACATCTCGCCCACCACATTCAGTTTGTGACTGCGCCCTTCTATTGTGTCGGCCATATTCTCAATTAGCTTAATGACGATGATGACGGCGGGCAGATTAACAGAAGATAGATCAGGCAAATAGGGTTCATCAATCTTCTATAGTATATGTAACGTTATTGACATTAAACAAAAATAAAGTGGCATTACATTTCAGCCTTAGCCAGGCCTTCTTCAGAGGTAAATGACAGAGGAACAAGAAACAAACATGTAGGGGACACACAAACATGCAGGGTTGGAAGGAGAATCGCAAAGAGGGATGGGGGGGGGCAGACCAATCCATATCTGGCTACCATCTCTCAATTTTTTGGTCTACATGTACAAATCTATATTCCATGACTGAAATTTTAAAAAATAAATAAATATTTTCTTGCTCCAAATTTTTTTCGAATCAGGTTTACAAGGAGGTCCAATTTAAAATTAAAGTTGCATTTAAATATCCGTTAGTGGTCATTGCTGAAACCAAGGGGTGGCTGTGGAGTTTAGGGTCCGAGTTCCTATAACAGATGAAACATTCACCTTTAACTTTTTACTTTTGTCAAGTTTCAACATGTTCAAGTTTTGCAAAAACTAGTACAAATTGTCGTACTCCTACGTTAGAGTTTCTTCATCAGATTTACACTTTATAGTAGTTAAACAATTAAAAAAAAAAAAAAATTTTTAAATGTGGCAAAAATATATGGAGTTCATCAAATAAGGTTTTCCCCTTCTTTAAATTAGGTTGTTTCCAATTTTTTTAATTGATTGTGACAATAACAAATTCTGTTGCCATGTTGTAACTTATGGCATGAAGTAAACACGAAGAGCACTCGCATGACACAATTAAGCAGGTACAAGTGATTCCTAACTTTCAATCACTTCCTTCACATCCCCATGAACATCAACATCTCAAGGACAGACTGTTCAGCTGTAATTAGTGTCTTGTTGTTTATTTAGATTATTGTTATTTATTATCCGCGGTCTCGGTCTCGGTCTCGGTCTCGGACCATTTCGGTCTCGGTCTCGGTCCGCCTTGAAGGGGCTGGTCTCGGTCTCGGTCTCGGTCTCGCAACTTCAGGTCTCGGTCTTGGTCTCGGTCTCGGCCTATCCGGTCTCGACTACAGCACTGCTCCTCAGTAAAACATTTTGTTATAACAAAAGTTGGCATTTAATAACCAAGAATTTTAGAACTTCGAGAAGGCATTTTTTTTTTTACCCATGAATGGTTTGAAGAGTTTTTTGTTATTTAAATTCAGCTAGGGATCTATCCACTGAGTGTTTGCCAGAAATGGATGAAAATGTCCTTGGCTGCTGTGGCAGTGATTATAAATCTTGTAGTACAGTACAAAACTGTCAACATTCCCTTTCGCCAACGGGTCGAAAGACCATTACTCAGGAGTTAATGAGGTTGATTTCAGTTTCAGGTTGATACAAATATCGCTGATGGCGAGATCGATATGAAGACCTTGTATTAATGATTGTCTCTATTTGTTTTCCTTGTTCTTGATACAGTTTGACTGGGAATATAAAGCGAAGTGTCAACCTGGGTTCCTATAACTACCTGGGCTTTGCTGAGAATTCTGGTCCACGTTCAGCTCAAGTGGAGGTGGCGACAAAGACGTATGGGTCTGGTATATGCAGTCCAAGACGGGAACTAGGTAAGAGTTCGGTCATTTACACCTGTTTGGACTGGCACTCCAGAGTCCCGCCGAATCGAATTTTTCCTTAGAATTTGATCTTCTTGATGTGGGGCTTTTAGGCCAAAAAAAAAAAGTCTCCTGTTTCTGGTACGCACGCGCGTCGCCGTAGCCATGCGCGTCGGCAAAATGAACAAGTTTTTTTTTCAATAATAGATGATGTCTCATAACCGCCAAACTCACTGGTTTGACTGGAATCCTGCTGCTGCACAATTTTAACGTGTTTTTAGATGGGGTTATGATCGAGAATTAAGCTTTATGTGGCCTCTCTGGACTCCCATAAATTTGCACTAAGTTTAGTCGGGCACCATTTGCAGTTATCGGCATACATTTGAAGCAAAAAAAAAAACGGTAAAAAAAAAAAAAAAAGCCGCGTCGCCGCAGAATTTTTTGGGCAAGCTCCATACCAGAAACCGAAAACTTTTTTTTTGGCCTTAAGTCCAAGGGTTACTGCAGAGGGCTTGGCCAGTTCTAGACACCTCGCTACTGCCACGCCGAACTTAATTGAAATGATCGCAGCAACAGCTCATCTACAGCACTGCAGTTACTCTAAACGCCGAACGTAATAGTCAAACCTTAATGCATCTGGAGTAATGGACCAGGTTAAAAACTTAAAGCAGCTCAAGCAGTTCAATGAACATTCAGTGTGCTCAAACTATTCGTGTTAATTTCACTCCCCCTCCCCATGATGCATACGGGACCTAAAATGTTTGCCCCAACTTCGAATTGAATTGAGTTGGGCACGGGAATGGCACATCGTTAAGAACAGTGCTGTGCCACTGCCATTCGGAACAGTGATAGCGTGACAACCCTGGCGCCCTAAAGGGTGTTGCCATGCCAAACTCAATTCGTCAAGCCAAATGGTTCTAAATGCTGTGCTATCGCCGTGCCGAATTATATAAAAAAAAGTCAAATTAATTGAGTTCGGCAGGGTAAAAGCACGGCGTCTAGAAATGGCTTAAGTTTTTTTTTTCTAGGATTTAAAAAGCTTCGGAGGAAAGATACCAGGGGAGGGGTTAAGCACTGGAGAAAGAGAAGGTCCTGGGTTTCAGTCCCCACGAAGGATTTTATAGCTTTCTTGTGTCAAGATGGCTCTCTTTCTATCGAATGAGGCTGTGGTTTGCTAGGACTTACCCTTAACTCTAATCCACCCAGTTCCTAACAAAATCCTCAGGAATTTGTAGGATTAATGAAATGACGGCACCCGGGTGACTTAACATGTTTTTGTAACTTTATTCAAGGTGTGCTTTGCAATCCATCGCTTGAAACTTCGACGACAACCACCCCCCCCCTACTCCTACTGTAATAATAATCATTTCCAGGAATAGGTTGGTCGCAGGTGACAAGGTTAACTCTTAGGTGGATTAGTGGTGTAGACAGTTAAACCACGCAAGGGAAAAGAATATGCTGAATGTTGGGCAATTGAAGTCACAAAAAGGCAGCACGAAATGAGTCAGGGGAGGCTGGAAGTATTGGAATTGTTTATATCCTCAGCTGACAGGGTCAGATTAAGAACCATCTCAAGTTCAACCACAGGTCAGAAACTAGAAATGACACAGTGTTTCATTTGCGTGTTTCTGGAAACTGTTTACCCAATGTTCGGTATCACATATGGTGCATTGATGTTAAAAAGAAAGAAACTTCCAGTTCTAAGTTTCATTTCTTTGAGATAAAACTTTTGCAAGTTGATTTTTAATGTCAAAAAGGTGTTTTTTTTTTCTAACTTGCCATTGTTAATATTGGTAGGGGATACTTGTGCTCTGTATCAACAAGTTAGGTTAAAGATGATAGCTACAGTTCATAGTCGTTGAGATTCTTGTCAAAGCCAGTCTGGGATCCATGTTTTCCAAGGTTAAGGCCGTGTCCGAATTACTTGGCTACAGCTTTCAATTACATACAAGTCTATGCGAAGTGGCTGCAGCCACTTATTTCCCATGGACTCGTGTGTAATTTTAAGCCTGTCACTCAAAATAGAAAAATTTAGGCTTGAATAGTTGTGATTTGAAACATCTCAGGGGTTGACTCGACTGTAACTACACTGATTTCACTTTTTTTTCCCCCTTCAAATTAACCACGAAGCAAAACTTTATGACCAGGTGCGTTTTTAATAATTTTAATGTTGAACAAAAAAAAATTACTCGAACTTTCCAGCCCTACATTGTATGTGTTTGCAGTTCCTCAATTTGTCTTTGTTCATTGCATATTGTAGCCAGGGATCACATCCAAAGTCATGATGCATCCTCAGCGAACCTGGGATATATACATGTAGCAATCAGGGATCTCTCTTGGATGATACAGCTTTGACAACTTAGACATTGACAAAATGGGCAACTGGCAACATACCGGTACTACATGTAGGGCTGGGTAGCTCAGTTGGTAGAGCACCGGAACAGCAATCCGGAGGTCGGCTGTTCCAACCCCATTCTGGAGTCAATTTCTTTGTTCAACTGTACCATTAATCCTAACTCCCCAGCCTAATTTACTAGGAACCATACACATTCTAGCAAATTCCAACAACCACATGGGAAATAGTACACACACACTGTTGGACTTGGTTTCTGGAGGTATGCCAACCCCAGTGTTAAAGACCATCAGGTTAGGGGTACTGTACCTATCCCAACAGATTTAAACAAAACCTGCCGGTGCACTTTGATGTGTTTTGTTCGGTTAGGGTTAAAGACCTCTTTGAGTAACTAACCAGTGAATATAGAGAGCCCTTAACATTGTACGTTTACTTATAATACATGTATGTACATGTATGTAAGTTGGCTTGACAATGTACCCTACCTCTACTCGTGGAGGAAGGAAAACAGTACATGTATTTGTAGGAGTTTGAAAAAAAGAAGGATATCCTTATTATCAGTTATTATCCTCTTGGCATGACAACATAACAGGAAAGTTAGCCTGGAGAAAACCTAGCTCAGCATGATTGAACCATTTCCCCTCCTAGTAAATCATATCTCTTCCCCATTAAGGTTAGTGCAAGCATAGAGCAAGGCCCAACATTATAAAAAGCTAGTTGTTCTGTGTTTTTGCCATCTTTTTCCTTATCCGTATGGCTGTAACCCATTAGCACAATTGTATTACATGTACATAGTGCTACGCTGCATATATTCCTTGGACAAATCCACAAAACCATACAGTATACTTGTAGACGGATGGGTAAAAAAAACCCCAAAAAACACACAACCCAAAATAAAAAATAAAAAAATAATAATAATAATACTACAAATATTTGAGTCTTTGAATGTAAAATTGTAATCACACATGCAGTGGTCTGTAAAATTTGTTTGTGGATCAGACATGTGATTGCAAGTTTTATTGATATAAATATTCATATACATGTTCACTATTTTAGATTTATAGTCACTATTTTGGATTTACAAACAACACTGTTTTGTCTGATGGGATTTTTATTATTTTTCTAACAAGAAAATGCATATCCTGTAGCAATTGTCCACAAATTGCATACATTGGTACTCAAATAACCTGACAGATGGTTTGAGTCAGTACATTGTGTACCTAATTATGGAGCAGACGTTAAGGAAAAGAAACGAGTAATATACGCCATAGTCATTTATTAGAAAAGCCTCCCATTACATGTTAATAATATTCAGTACGGGTGGATTCCATTTCCCGATGGAACAAAAGTGCAATGACCCTGGCCTAGCTTCATGGCGTTGCGAAGATTGCTATCTATCAAATTGGATGAACGCCAGTCACAATCCATATACTGGCATATGGACTCCGTGCACAAGTACCGGTACCCCCTCAACGGTAAGAAGGGGAGAGTTGGGAGAGACCACTGGGAGAGACATTGGAACGCATTGCTGATGACGTCCGTAGCACACGCAAAGCTGCTATGAATTTGTGCACATTCAGGAAAAAAACAGTCGTACGTATTCAAACCATACCGGTACACGTTCGAACCAGCATACACACACGCTGTTTCTCTCCCACTGGGGCTTTTGAAAGTGATCACAAAGCGCCCTCTATGTTCATGCACAGAGTCCATAAGCAGTTCATGCACGGAGTCCATAAGCTTCGAAGTCCATAAGTACGAACCCTCAGGCACACATGGTGTGTCCCTCCCATTAGGGCTTTTGAAAGCGATCACAAAGCGCCCTCTATTGGTTCGTGCACAGAGTCCATTAGCTAGTAACCGGTTTTGGCTGGGCAAAGATTTGTCTGTTTGTGAATCTGGGCTCAGGCAGTTTTCATGATTAACAGGGTCCTCGGGGCCCATTCCATGATACTCAACTGTTAGCAGAAAAGTTGTCCAAAATCATATGTGCTAACTATTGCCATTGGGGTAGCCAAGGTTTTCATCCTAGGGGGGCAAGTTAAGTGGGGAGCTAGATTTAAGTGGAGGGACGCCCAGTGGAGGGGCATGGAGATTTCTATTTTTACGTCACTGATTTAACCAACTTTTCCTCTGGGGTTAAGCGTGCCTTTTGCTGTGCTTACTGCTTACGGTCTCAATGAAATAGACGGATACTCTGTTGGCACAAAATTGGCTGTTAAGCAGCGCCATGAAACCTGGCCCTGGTTCTATGCAATTCCTGCCTCTGAAATTTGCTGCGCTTACTGCTGAACTGTCTCCATGAGATGGACACTGTCACTGTTAACAGAAGACTGTTGCCATGATTGGCAGCGCCATGCAATTGGCTGCTTATCTTTCCATTGATAATAATGGCTAGTGATGAGTATGTCTGTCGTTAATGGGCACTTAACAAGGCAATTAACTGTGAGAAAAATGTAGAGCCAATAATGCGCAGTGCTGGGTCAGCATGATTATTACATGAATTTAACAATTATACACGTCACAGGTATAGTGGCCATTATGCAGATTTGAAAAAGAATTTGCATTATTTCACCTGAAAATAAGCCCTACTGTCTAATATACCGGTACAACACACGACATGGTTGTGCAATAGTGGCCGGCAACAGGGAAAGTGGATCATACGATGGGATCCTATTTTGAAAACAAAATGTGAAGAAAGACTCACTGAGAACCGCCATACACTTTTCTCTACCAAGATGGCTACCTGCCATGGTTGCCATGGTGCAGGTCATGTAACCTTAAACCTATAAAGTTGTACTTATTCATCATGGGATTTTTATACCTATGGTTTTACACTTAGATTGTTTCTGTACTCAAGCATTCACTGTAAGTGCTGTGAGCTCCTAATTTCTTAAAACAGAAAAACAAAACTGCAAAATATATGCTATTTGTCAATATTACTAGTGCAATGACTTGTGAATCAAGATTGTCTAATCGTACATCTACGTTTACAGGACTTTTACAGTTCTATTTCCTGCGCTTTGTATCCTTTGGAAAAGGTGCTCTATAAATGTAAATTGTTAGTATTATTTATTACACGAACATTATCCCCTCTGCCTATAAAATATTCCTAAAACCATCAGGCTCACTTGGAACTATTCAGCCTGACGTCACAAATGTTGTACAAATTTAAAAAGTAAACATAACATAGAAAAGCAGGTACTGATAAAGTGACTTGCCCAAGGACACATGTCACTTGATTCAGTCTGAATTCAAGCCCTCCATCTTCAGAGTAGCCCACAGCATCTTGACTTTAATGCCTCGACCATGAGTCCACGGCACTCCTCCATCCACTCTAACTGTTTGCTTCCTTCATCCGTATATACGCCTTTCTCTCCCATGCAGGTAATTTAAGTATCCACACGGAGCTAGATCGTCTTGTCACTCGCTTCACGGGCAAGGAGGATGCTGTCACGTTTGCCATGGGCTTCGCTACTAACGCTCTCAATATGCCCTCGCTGATTGGAAAGGTGAGCATGGCCTGACATCTTAAGGAGATTGGAGATCATGTCTTGATCTTTTCATCTTACACCGTACACCTCGCTAGCCTACTGGGTAGCGTTGGCTGTATCTCGATCGCCTGTCATCTCGATCAGGATTCACAGATCTGCGTTCAGTCTTACACCTTCGGTCGCCCCTTAATGTTACTCTGTCAGTTTTTGACAGCCTGGGGACGTTTTTAACATTAGAGGGGAAATTCTAAATATCATGTCCCTTGGGATTTTTAGGTTGATAGAAATCCCTTCTGAGTAGTAGTAGTCATAACCAAATACCTCTTAGGTAAACGTCTTAATCTGTCAACAACAAAAACCATGTTTTATTTGTTTGATTATATCTGTTGGAATATTTCTTGGGCTGGTGTATCTCAAAGATACTTATTCCTTGCATTGGAGTACCAGTGGCAAACTAGGGTTAAACCTATGAGGGGGCACCTGCAGATGCATACATTTTTCAAGGGGGGGACGACGAAAGGAAAGAGATGTATATTTGTATTCAATTCAAGATTTTAAAGGGGGGGGGGGAGGAGGAGGGGGGGGCATGGACATCTGCTGGGGGCACGTCCACGTCCAGCCCCCCCCCCCCAACATTCACGGATGTATAATCGATTGCAAACAACATGTGCAGTAACACAATTTGGTAACATGGGGACAGTATTTGGAGAAGTCAGGTTTTTTACAATGATGGTAGGCTGACCATCGTTGGAAATTGATATAAAAATTGCACTTTTCTTGGAAATGACAACACACATGATTTCACAGGATGCTTGAGACTATTATTCACTTACAGTCAAGTAAGGTATTTCATAATAATTGGGTAGTTTTGTTTTTGGATGTTTGCAAATGTTGGATATTGCCTTTAAACATGTTGTTCTTGTAATACTTCAGGGTTGTCTGGTTGTTAGCGACAAGCTGAACCATGCATCTATCGTACTGGGAACCAGACTGTCTGGAGCAGTGGTCAGGATCTTTGAGCACAACGGTTGGTATTGCTGCACAGTTCCTCCACACCACATAATTATTATTCATAAATACCGGAGACAGTTTACCCATATCGTATTGGTCGAGAGCCTGTCACGTCAGTGGTTTTAAACGGTTAATAAAACACCGACTGGCTGGTTTTAAAAACTTTTCCGGAATCACATGAAATTTGGACTCCCATGAAATCTGGTCCCTTTTACCCTTTTATTGGTTGAATGTTCACAAACTTCACTTCGACATGCGCAGTATACCATTAATGAGTCCATATTTCATAGAGTCCTAAATTCCACGTTCTGCGCCACATCGCACATTACGCGCCACACGCGCGCCAATCTCCACGTAAGGAAATTTTTATTGCTACTCGCGAGAGGCACATACCGTACCATAAACAAAGGGGTGTTTAACGAAACATGAAGTAAACATTGTTGAACAAAATCATTGGAAATTTAAAATTTTTGACTTGTTTTGACTTGTTGACCGAAAGGTACGATATTTATGAATGGGAATAAATGTGTGCTTGGCCGGTATTAAACAAGTACATTTAAAACCAGCTTGGGGCCTGGTTGTCGATAATGGCCTGCGTCGATATCAGCATCCAGGACCCAAGCCAAACACATATTTCTTTCCAGACACTGAGTCATTCTGTATGAAATTATGTCCCTTGGGTTGGACTCAAAATTCATTACTCCAGATGGAACAATTTGCTGTTACAAAATCGAGCATAATATACTCCAACCCGGATGCAAAATTTTAATTCAGAAGCATTTGTTATAGAGTCCAAAGATTATTGAGCCGAAATTTTATCAGACAATGTTCATTGTGTATTGCAGATGCATGAACATATCGGATGTTCCTGTGTCATGTCATTGTTCGGGTTTGGCAGACTGTTATTTTACTACATGTAAATGCGTCATGCATTTGAGGATGTGTTATTTGGGCTAGTTGCCAAGGAGCGAGATAACGGATCAATTTGTGTGACTATATATCCATGAACAGTACCATAAACATAGATTGAACACTTTCTTTGCTTTGTTCTTGGCTTTGAATGAAGGAGCTTGAAAAGGCCATGAAAATAAAATTCACATTACATATTATATTTTAAGCTAGTATCTATACCTCTTAACTGTAAACTGACATAATTGTTTATATCAAGCTTCAAAGAAGTTAACGTAGATCAACGTATTGTACTCTTTCGGAAAGAGTACCCTGATGACTATACAATATTGTTTTTGATATTGTATAGTCATCCGGGCATTTTCTGGTATCGATGCGCATTTCACTGGTTGCCGCTCAATCAAGAGCGTAGAAAGTCACAGTTGTCAACCAGTCAACATAGCATAGCATGCAGCGTGGTCACATGTGCACGCAGGTCACACTGAAAAAGTACTAAGGAAAGCGTTTTTTTTTTGTTGATCAAATCAGCCTGATATAAATAGTTACGATAACATTGGATTGCTTTTTTTCGGGGGATACAAGAATATATTGCACTCGCTATAATAATGTTGCACTCTTGTTCAACTCGTGCAATATTGTTATAGCTTGTGCAATAAACATGTACTCTTGTACTCCTTCAAAGGAAAGCCATCCGATATTATATAAATATTTTGGTCCTAAGATTCTTTACACTGCATAGGCAGTGTTGTAATCAAAAATTTCACAAGCGTATCCCATGTGGAATTTGAACCCATGACCTCCTGCTTACTAGTGCATCTCTGATGCAAAAAGTTCAATCATGTAAAACTACTTTTTTCCGATACTACTTTTTCCAATGGACTTAACTTCTTTTTTTTGTCTCATGTTAAATCGATGGTTCCCTTTTGTAGACATGGAGAGTCTTGAGAAAGTCTTGAGGAACGCCATCGTCGATGGTCAACCACGATCCCACAGACCCTGGAAGAAGATTCTTATTGTGGTTGAGGGCATATACAGGTAAGCACAATAGCCCTGGGAACGTCATGACATCATGCTTTGTTTACAGCTTACACCTGTGCATTATAAAGATTGCAGACCAGTAGATATGCCACCATATAGACCCAGTGGTAAATCCCCCCACTTCCAAAATTCAGGGAAAATACTCACAACTCTTTGTGTTTGAGACACACATCAACTTCAAGTTTATTTCATCATCTTTCATTTTCTGTTCCATTTTTGAACACCCATCTTTTTTACAAACCCTCAAGTACATGGCCCACAAAATGCTCTATTTGAAAAAAGAAAGAAAAAAGGCCATCGAAGGCACTTTTGGGCCTTTTTACTGGCCTGCACCCTCAAAGTGAAGTAGGTGGGGTCGAGGGGCCCATAAACAAGCTCTATAATAAAAAGCACAGATGTAAACAGAGTGTGCATTTATGATATATCCGGGCAATCAAAAGAACCTACTTATGCAAAGTGCACACAGAAGGGCTCTTTATTGCATTCTATTTCATTCTCCAGCTTCAATTTTTTTTTAAAACTGGTGTTATGTCATTTTTAACCAGCCACTTAATGCAGCTACTTATAAATAAATTTTAAAAAACGGCATTTGCAACAGATAAAGGATAAACAAAAACTCATTTTTATATGTAACACTCTTTGAATTAGAGGCTAACATGAACCCAAAACTGTTTCAGTGACAAAAGAGGAAACATTTTGCTGGACATAAAAGTCATTTGAAGCTTGGCAGCTACATTGGCAAACATTGTTGGTAGCTTTACATTTGCAAAACAAGGAAAGAGTAACTGTTGATAGCGTAGCTTTCTGTTATTGTAGCCCAACTGGCATAATGTGTGTTGAGAAATTAAGATGTGTCAGCCTCTATCAAAACCATTTTAACCAATAAAGGTTAATTTTCACAGGGCCAATGTCTCAAATTGGGAAAACTTATTTCAAACATATCATAATGATAAAATTGTCAATAAATAGATCGAACATGGTGTCAAAATGATTCATTTTGACACCATGTTCGATCTATTTATTGAAAATTTTTGAGTGCCTAGCAAGAAGTCCCAATTTGTATCATATTCGAAGTTGTATAGTTTCTTTTAATTTATTTTTACATCTACAAAAGCTTATGACATAAGCATTCATTTCCATTTCAGTTCTTTCCACTTTTGCAACTTTGGCCAACTGGTTCAACTCGCTTTGTTAATAATGTCATCGTTAACAATTATCTAATTGTCAAACTCAATTTGTTAAATTTTTCATCAAAATATAAATTTCAGATTAACATCAAGTCAAGGCTTTCATTGCTAAGCCATTGAGAACATTGAGAACCTTTTAGTTTTTTATCGTGGCCACACAGAATAGTACTAAAATTCTTCTCTTTTGCTGCTAATTTGACTTTTTCTCTCCCCATAACATAGCATGGAGGGTTCCATCGTGCGTCTGCCCGAAGTTGTTGCTCTCAAGAAGAAATACAAGTGCTATCTGTACCTTGACGAGGCCCACAGCATTGGGGCTATGGGACATAGTGGACGAGGCATCGTGGAGTACTTCGGTGTGAATATAGATGACATTGACGTCATGATGGGGACTTTCTCCAAGAGTTTTGGAGCTTGCGGGGGTTATCTGGCCGGCAGTAAGGTTGGTAGCTCCTCTTTCTTCCAAGCTTCTCCTTCAGGGTCATCTTGTTGCTGGCCTAGCAGCATTCTTGGCTTATCTTTGTGCTAAACGGAGGTTCATACATCAATGCAGTTGTATTCAGGAGGGTTTTGGCAAAATACTTGAAGCAGTTTAGAATTAATTGTGCCAAACAACCAACTAGGCACGAAATTTACATTCATACAAAAAAGCAAGAGCCTACACATTACTAATGTGTAAAGATAACGTGCATTCTTAACCAGTTTCGTGCAGGGATTATTTTTGCCAAAATTTTCGATTTTTGAAAAAGGCAAATAAAGCAGCCACTTTCTGGTATACAGCCAAACGCCACAAGTACTGATTCACAAGAGTCATTTCAACAGCCGTGCCTGTGCATAAAAACAGCCAGTGCGTGTTACCACGGCCTCCGACACGAACGGTTAACTTTCTTATCCTGATTCCCCTATGTAAATGGAAGAAAAAATAAGTTGAACATAGAAATATGAGACTGCATTTGACTACATTGCAACGGCTAGCAATTACACATGCAACCGTGGAAGCGGCTAAATCCAATTGCTATAGACACGTGTGTTACTGCTGGCCATAGCCAAGTATTAGAACATTACCACCATATACCTGGTGCTTACAAATAACCTATAACCTACAACCTAATACATTGAAGGCAGTAAGAAGCCATTCCTGATGTAATGCCAAGCTTGCACACAAGCCTTTACACATTCTTAAAGTTGAGGCATGCAGATTTTGGCAATCCAATTTGTCGGAGAAGCATTGTGAGTTCACATATATGACCTGTGCACAAGTGCTGTTTCATGTATCACCTCAATGAATGACTTGTAGTTGCAAATAGCTGGAATTTATCTTTGCAAATTGCAGGATTTGATTGCCCGGATCCGATCCAAATCCCACAGTGCTGCGTATGGAGCACCCATGGCCCCACCGGTAGTACAGCAAGTCCTGGCCAGCATGAGAACAATCATGGGAGAAGACGGAACCAGCATCGGTAAGACAACCACTCCAAAACATCAAAGCCTCATCAATTTGTTGTGGATATTGAGGCAGTGGAGTCCATCAAAAGTTTCTCACAAGTTTGGTCCCAAGAAAATCACAAGTCCATCCACAAGTTTGTCACAAGTGACAGGATGAATTGTGACAGAGGAATACCTTTGTCACCGTTCATATGGATGACTCGTGATTGACTTGTCATGGACTTGACTACAACAATGTTGAGATACAAGCTAACATTTTTTTTTTCAAAATCATGTTTGATGTGATTTTGAAGGGAAAGTCTCTTGATAAAAGGATTTAATTCAAATTTGGAGTTTGTAAGATTCTCCAGTGCATAGAAAGTTAGAAACATTGATTTGAAGAAGAGATTTTAGGCCCTGAGTTACTGTGTTTTTGCCTACCTACCTTGGTCGATCTTCCGATCGAACCAAGGAAACGAAGCCTCTGCAGATGTCTCTTTCCAGGATCACTTTACGTATCTCTAATGGAGACTGCAGACCAGTGTCTCTTTGAAGATCAATGAATGTGGTGGCCTGCCTCCCTGGGTTCAGATGACCCTGAGTTGGTTGCCATAGTATCAACTTCGAGGCAATTTTTTTCAAGATGCCTGACACAGCTTGGCATAATCTCCGTTCAGCGATTTTGTGTGCGACTTTAGGCAATCCGTCATATAGCTCTGCGTTAGTAGTGTGGCTCTTCCAGGAGACATTCAGTGCCATTTGAGCATTCGCGTGTACATTCCATCAAATTGCTTCTCTAGCTTCTGCGTTAGTGTCCATGCGTTGCATCCATAGAGCAACACAGATTCAACTGTGTTTTTAATACAGAACAAATTGTGATCAGTGTTTGTAAAAAGAATTATTGCAAAGATTTTGCCGAATTCTTGTTAAGGAAAGCCAAAGCATAAACAACTTTATAGTTGACTTCAAATGTATTTGAGAAATCACTTTCAAATTGCACACTTGACAAATCTTTTTCCATATTTTCTTTGTCGTTTTCCTTCCAAGGTGTGAATCGCATCAGTCGTCTTGCCTGGAACACCCAGTATTTCCGCTATCGTCTGAGGGAGATGGGTTTCATATTTTACGGCAACCAGGACTCTCCCGTGGTTCCGTTGCTGATCTACGTGCCTGCCAAAGTACCGTGAGTAGATCAATCTAAAGCCAGTCCAGTCCCAAGTCAAGCCACAATCTATTCAATTGCACTGTGACAAAGGCGTTCCTTTGTTATCACCCGTAACTTGTGATGGACTCATAGAGCTATATTAAATGACTAGAGCACTAACTCCTCATTCTTATGCGCGGAGATATTTTGAATTCATGTATCTGTGTGTAGAACATAATGCAATCAGATGGAGTGAGTTTTGAAAGCGTATTCTAAATACAATGCACATACCCAAACAACTTAAGCTCATCATGACGGTTACAAAATGTCACAGTAAAATCTTCTCCAGCGGATACACGCCCGTGTTTGCGTTTTTTGCAAAGAGCAAAATGAAACGCTCATTTATTGAATGCGCATTTTGGTTTCGGGCGTATCAGCATCAGTGACGCAGCTGCAGAGAATACAAACGCAGATATGCAAATAGCCGTAAAAAAGCCTGCACCCTAAAGGTCACATATGTGCATTATTATACAAATAATGAATGTTTGTGAGTGCAATGGTAAGAATAATTTCATGAGGTGACAGATGAAATGTTCCATTTCACGAGGCGAAGCCAAGTGGAATGGAACATTTCATCTGTCACCGAATGAAATTATTCTTACCATTGCATGAACATGAAACATTTATTATTTGTTTTATATAACACCTGAATAAATCCTTGTCCTCTGATTGGTTGACTTTTAATAACCAATTTATTCAGATTAAATACTGTTTAACAGGTTGAGACCAATCATATTCAATTCATCTTGATTAAAAACAGCGCCACCACCAGCAACAGTGACACGGTGCAATGGAAGTTCTATTCACTGTGCAATAGAACTTCCATTGCACTGTGCGCTGCGCGCCGCGCGTTGGGACGAATAATTCAATGACATGTGATCAACGATCCACCAATCACATGAGGGGGATTTATTCAGGTGTTGTATAAACCCATATGAACACTAACAAGTCTCTATCATAAACTGACCTAACTAGAGTCAGCCCCACACCCGCCACGCCCTTCCAACGTTTTTTTTAATTTGTCAACATTGAGAGTTTCAGGATTTTTCAATCATCAACCCCCAGGTCATCAACACACATCCATGCCCTTGATGAAATATGAATCCCCTGTTTTTTTTACACAGTGCATTCAGCCGCATGTGCCGTAAGCGTGGTCTCGGCATTGTCGTCTGCGTGTTCCCTGCTACGCCTTTGGTGGAGAGCCGGGCCCGAATCTGTCTGTCTGCAAACCACACCAAGGAAATGCTGGATAAGGTATTTTTTTGTCAACTTATCATTAAAAACATTCAGCAAACAGCCATAGAATGAGTGACAGACATACTTAGGCCTTCTGATATTTCTTGGGTTTGTAGCTTGTAGCCCCCATGCCAGGGTTTTAGTCCATTGCTCACAAGCCAATCTTACGTCAATCACAAGTCGATCACAAGTCGATCACAAGTAATCATAAGTAAATTATTAGTCAATCACGAATCACAAGTCAATCATCAGTCAATCACAATCATACCTCAATCACAAGCAAATCATAAGTCAATCACAACTCAATCATAAGTCAATTACAAGTCAGTCATACGTCAATCACAACTCAGTCACACATGTAAGTCAATCACAAGTCAATCATACGTCAATTACAAGTCAATCATACGTCTATTACAAGTCAGTCATAAGTCAAATCACAAGTCAGTCACGAATGACAACTATTCAAGCAAATAAACTGGTAAATACATTAGTTGATAGATCTAACATCAATAGAATTTTGTACACTAAAATGCCTTAATGTCTGTAATGTCTGTGTTGGGAGGAAAGTCTGAAATTCACACAAATTATGCTGATCTGAAAAATCTACGAACCAGTCAAAGTCAAACATTTTGTCTGAAAGTAAGTTATATTATTTGTCATTTGTGCATTTTTTTCTGTTTGAAGCAATGAAAGTGCTCAAAATCTAAAGAAGGCTGCTTAACAACTAACCTGATGAAGTTTTAGCTCAGTGAATGCTGTATATTCCGAGAAAACGGTATTCCTAGGATCTCGATTTCAATTCAAAAGTTGCCGGATAATGTTTTGAATTGCGCCCGAAATCAGCATCCGGGACACGTTTTTATGCAGCTGATTGTAGCTATGCGATGCCATGTGCTGAACCGACGAATTAAGGCAACCGCGTGCACGTGTGCGTCGTGTCAATGCTTGCACGCACCCATTCACGGCTTCACCGAATTAAAACGAACTACTAACGGAAATTTCCATTTCCATGTTTGGAAATGACCTCCTATTATTGTTTTCTTGAAAATGACGTCCTGTCAGAAAGAACAATTTCACAGGGAGTTTAGTGCCATTACTATCTTTAAACCAAGTATGCTTTTCAACAATAATTGTGTCAGTTACGTGTTGGATAGCTGCAAATGATATACTCTACCTTTAAACAGATACAGCTAAGATTATAACATCTCACCCACAGATTCTGTGTCTTGATTGGCCGAGAGCGAGTCACATGTTACTTTCTAATTTTGCTATCTTTCTGTGCACTGCCAAAAGTACTATACCCGTAGCAACCAAAGTACTATACCATTAGCAAACAAAGTACTATTTCCACGTTCCGGTATTTGTGTGCAAATGCATGCTGGTGTGCGCGTTGCACGCAGCGCGTTTTGTTCCAAAGAGAGCACGCCGCAGAGTTGGGTTCAAACATTTCGCGAAGGGGTAGTTTGGAAGAGAGAAATACATTCTCCTCCAGTTTTGCATTGAAATTTAAGTTTATTTCAACTGTGTTCAGATTTAAATAATTTAAATATTATAACCAAGCAGAATCTGTGGGTGAAGTGTTATAAAACAAATATTGAATGCTTTATCTCGTGGTGAAGTAAAACTAGCCTCCCTCGGTGATCCATGCAGCATTCTATTTTCCCTCGGCTTCGCCTCGGGAAAATAGAATGTCCATGCATCACCTTGGGAGGCTAGTTTTACTACACCACTCGAAGCACTCAATATTTGTATACTATTGTGCACTTATAGTGTGTTGGGGTAGGTATTCATCTTTATGATCTATAAACATACAATGAGTGCCTTAAACTTTGCCCCAAAGTGTAAAGTTGCCCCGAAGTGTAAAGTTGAGTGTTTATTGCCCTACTTTCTGCAGGCGCTGGAAATCATCAGCGAGGTCGGTGACCTGTTGAACTGCAAATTGTCCAAGCTGCCGAAACCCGTACCGAGGGAATGGAACGACCAACCCCCACTGGAGGAAGAGTAAACTCTCGACAAACAAACGAACATCAAGTCAACCCAACGGGCGAGCTTATGTGTTCAACACTGTACCAGTCTATAGCAGTTTTTCCATCCGGTTTTAAGTTTCTATTTATTACTAACGTTTAGTTTTTTTTTTTTTCCTTTTCGGGGGTCATGCTGAAATGAAGAGGCTGTATTGTCACAGTTTCTGTTTTTTTAAAGAGGCTATCACGTTTTTTTCATTGTTAGAGAACGGCGCCCTCTCGAGTCTGTTTTAATACAGCTCAAGGAGCATCATAGGCTAATATGGCAGACTTAAGTAAGACTTGATGAATGCTTAATGCAGTGAGTGTTTTAGTGAGCTGCTTTAGCGTTCACAGGAAAATAACAAACTTAGAAGACTAGCATTTGACTTTTTAAATCAGTTGTGATATACTGTTCAGTGTATGTGAACTGCTTATGATCAGACTCATTTGCGGTGATTTCCCTGAACAGTTTCGGTCCGACTGTGAGCATTTTTTGCAAATACCTGCAGTTGGAAAACATGTTTGATGATTTTGGACGGACCTATGTTCTGAAAGTATGAGGAATTGAGTTCTTTATATGCTAGATTGTCTTGCTTTTTTTCACAAAGATGTAACAGTAACGAATCATCGATACTTTGAGTGCCGTTAGTTTTTGTTTTACCTCAAATTTGAATTTTTTATTAGCACTATTAAGGAATTTAGTCAAACTATTTGACAATCAAAGTTGAAGTAAAAAATTTTATTGGGAAAAGTATATTCTTTCTAATGACGAGTTGAAGAAAAAAAGTTTTCTGATTCGATAGATGTAACTGAATCGGGAAAAAAACGTCTCCTAAACTCTGAAGATGGATTTATTTGAAAGCAACATGCCAGATTTGTTGTGCCCACATTAGAGAAAGTACATTAACTTGTTCTATTCTATTCAGTAAATTGAAGGCCAGCATTATATAGCTTCTCTTTGTTGCCACGTTTCAAATTATATCGGTGTTCATTAGACAAAATATCTTTTTTGTTTCACTATTTATTAACTTCTCTGGTAGTTCTGTTCTGGGGCTTTCTTGAAGTAAGAAATACTCGATAGTTTAGTGCAGATTACTCTTTACTTGTATTATATTTTTGGTGTTGCAGTTTTTTTGTGCCGGTATTAATCTGAAGTGACTCTTGGGCGAGTGCGTACTTTTTTGTTTGAAGTTGGTCTAACTCTGAGGCTGGTTGTTTATAATGTGATATAAGAAAAGGCTGTAACTGGACGTCCATTTGTAAAATGCTGTGTGCCAGTTTGATAAACAACCAGTGTAATACTAATAGTCAAGTCTTTCGCAAGTCCATCACAAGTTTGATACAAGTATATCTCAAGTCCATCACAAGAGCATCATTAGTCCATCACAAGTCCATCACAAGTTCATCACAAGCCCATCACAACTTCTCACGAGTACTTCAAGAGACAATCTCAAGTCCTCCAGTCTCAAGTCAAGTCACAAGCGATTCAAAGGAACTGTGACAAAAGGTTTCATCCCTTGTTACTTGTGACTGGAATTGTGAATGAACTTATGATTTACTTGTGATGGACTCAGCTACAGGGTGAGTAAAAAAAAAAAAAGTAAACCCAAATGGCAGGACCATTTTCTTAATAAAGTTCTGCATGTAGCACTTTCAAAATCTAGGATATGAAAGCCCAATTAATAAGCTTTCTTTTAGTACAAGAATCATTCAAATCACTGATACACTTTTCAAGTTACGGAATTTTAAACACAACCACCATTTTAAAGTTCTGTCCACGGATCACAAAAAATGGTGTGTGTTCTTTCAGCAAAACGAAACAATTCACGGTGGTTGTGTTTAAAATTCCATAACTCGAAGAGTACTAAAAGAAAGCTTATTAATTGGGATTTCATATCCTACATTTTGATAGTGCTACATGCAGAACTTCATTAAAAAAAACTTGGTCCTGCCATTTGGGTTTCCTGTTTCTTACTCGTCCTGTACAGTACATCATTTGGTGATGATGATTGGATGCCATTATGAGCTCAAAAAATATCTGCATGTGAAGACAAATTTTCTAGAATTGTTGCCTGTTGGATTCTGTGCGGGGATGGTTCGGCAAATTTTGCTCATGGATACCGAAACCAGACTAACTTAACACTGGCACACATGCATTAGCAGTGGACCTCGACTGTAATATATTTTCAAGTTTATTGTACATAGGGATTGTATTACACATGTTCGGACTGGTGTTCCAGAAAGCTCTGATCGAAAATTATGTGGAGTGACTCAGGCCGTCCGGAATTAAATTTGATTTGAAAAAGCCAAACTTTGATTCGCTAATGTTTTATTTAATAGAGCAACAATCTGAAATCCAGATGCTCTGGTTGAGTCATTTCTGAACGACCGCAACAGTTGATCTTTTCTAACTCTTTCAAATGTCAAATTTAATTCAGCAGTTTGGATTAATTTGTCAAATGAATCACAAAGGGAAACTGACTAGTTGCTTTACAATAATTTTAAACTGAAACAAAGAAATTGAGTGGTGCGGGGTTTGAACCTGCAACCTTGTGGATGCCGTTCTGGTGCTGTCTTTGGATTAAGTTAGGTCAGTGCGAATCTAGAACACCGGTCTGAGTGTTTATTAGTCACATTAATGAAACGTTTGCACGTAAACTGAGTAGTATTTTAAGATAGTGAGATGCTCATGGGAACGTTGATATAAGCGTTCCGCCTTTGTTGAGATTTGACTCTCCAAACGTGGACGCTTTTATGACAAGTCCTCATTGACTTTTACTTGGGCTGACGTGAGCAGTGTGCCCATTCATTACATTAATGAACTCTAGAACACATACCTTTATCAAATTCATTTTGTAAATGTTTAAATTGTGTAACTTTTTTAACTTGTTATTTTTTTCATCACCAACACAAATAACAATGCTGATTTAAATTGAGGGATGAAAAAAGGCAATTGGACTAGAAAAACTCACTCCCGAATGCCGCTAGACGTTTTGAGAATGCTTTTATTTTTCTTCATGGGAACCGCAACTTGGATAACAAAAAGACAGTGTTAACATCCAACTCTTTAAGTTGTTAAACGTTTCAACGTATTTGTCAACTTCTGCGGTGGCATTTGTGAATACATCAAGCTTGCTCAAGTGAGAGTTGTACATAGTGGAAATTAGTCCATGAATTCATTTTAATACAAAATTTCCTAAAGAAAATTTCTTGTAAGAAAATTGCAGTACTTGAAGCACAAAAAAAAAACTGCAAATTTTATGGTCCAACTTCTTTAAATCCAGTCAATACATTAACAACAAGCATGCATTATACAAAATCCTGATTTTTTTTTCTTGTGAGCGTGTTGCAAAGATACGATGTAAACAGCCTGTTATTGTTGTTGGTAGTGACTTGCGAAGCATCGTGGGTAATGAAGCCATGTTTGGCTGAACACCCATATGCCGACCCTATGAATTGTACTCTTATGAAATTAAAAGGTAATGATATAATTGTGTATGCATATTGTTTTTGTGGTATAGGTTATATTTCATTACATGATAAATTTGTAAGGTATTTATAAAAAGCTTGTCTGAATTGACATGAATATTTATACATTATTGAATTTCAGTGTTTAAGGGCATTTTCAAGTGTGTGTTTCAAGTTCGAGTATTACTTGCCAACATTTTAAAACCGTGTCACTAGTCAATCACAAGTCAATCACAAGTCAATCACAAGTCAATCACAAGTCAATCACATAGCCAATCACAAGTCAATCACAAGTCAATCACAAGTCAATCACAAGTCAATCACAAGTCAATCACAAGTCAATCACAAGTCAATCACAAGTCAATCACAAGTCAATCACATAGCCAATCACAAGTCAATCACATAGTCAATCACATAGTCAATCACAAGTCATTTATGCCCAAATCAAGTGAAAGCCAAATGACATAAGACAGACATTTGTTTCCCATCGTCCTCATCGTATTTGAATACTGGTGATTGACATGTGATTTGGCTTGTGACAAACTTGAGACAGACTTGTCTACAACTCTGCCTTGGAGTTCTGAAAATGAAGTGCGTGCTACAACTTGAGTTCTGTTCTGTTATTATATTTAGTTTGTGTTCTCTGTGAAAAATAAGCCAGTATTCTTGGCTTTGTTCAGCCAAACCTGCATTTTTTTTGCCTGAATTTATTCTCAGCTGGATCAAAAATGTTTGGACTCATTGCTCGGATTTTTTTCCAGCTATCCGCCAGGTTGATTCTGTGTGTGAAAGAAGACTTTGTTGAGGCATTGGTTGCTGCTTGCATTGAGAATGAGTGATAAGCTCGTGCCAAGCTTTGTTAAACATTCATGAATCAAAAAAAAAACTCCAATGAATGTATCAGCACTCTTAAAGTTATGTAAAGCCTACACTATAGGCTGGTCTTGTCCTCAACTGACGTTACGTTTACCAACATTTTCTGCTTAAAAGTTCTATGAAATGTTGCCCAGGACTTTGGCATATTTTTTACTGATTTTTCATTTATGAACTTGAATGAAGTTAAGAGTAAGCAGAGATGACAATTTTCATTAATTGCCTGAGATATCTCAAAATGTTACATGACAGAAACTTTCACATTGTTGTGGCTGATACATTTGAAATGATTAGCATCACGGTTTAGGAGCCACTATTGTGACATCATCATACATCATGAATATTCAATAAGCTGTGACATTGCTTTCGGGGCTGTTCTCAATGAGTGCTTACCATCGCAGACAGTCATCAGTTTTAACTTGGTGCTGTACTAAAGTGTCAGATGTCATCAGCAAGCATTACATTTCAAGAGTACAGATTTTTGGTTTTCCATGCAAGTGAATAAATGATTTAACTAGAACTGGTTGCTGCTTGCCTTTATGATTCTGAACTCTCACAATGTTTGGAAGGTTCCTTTGGAACTTCAAGAAGTTCCATCTAGGAACATATATGCTTTAAGCAGGGATAACGTTGGGAAAAGGTCGGTTTTGTTTGTATATATGTGCATTGGAATGGGCTGGGCTTGCTAGCTACACTCGACCAAAAAAGAAAGGCCCCCCCCCCCCTCCAATACTTTTTTGTCTAACTCACAAACTACTGAGCACCTCTCGCTCAAATAATGACTAATCAGTACAGAAATTCCTTAGCAATCCAGCCATATTCTTTATGTGGCCCAAAACAGTGATAATGTGTACGAAATTATGCAATTTGTGACAAGTGATACCAAAACAATGGCACTTTTGTATACGTGCAAGTTGTGGTTCACACTCATCTTGCACATATACAAAAGTGCAACTTTTTTCGCTACCATTTGTCACAAATTGCATCATTTTGTACACACTATCACTGTTTTGGGCCAAGCAAAGAGTATGGCTGGATTGCTAAGGAATTTATGTACTGATCAGTCGTAATTTGAGCAAGATGTGCCCAGTAGTTTTGGAGTTAGACAAAAAAGTATTAAGGGGGACTTTCTTTTATGGTTGAGTGTAGGAATGCAAGAGGAACCTTATTCCATTGGGAATGTGCTATGTTACCAAACAGAGTGGTGGGGGTGGGGAATAGAAAACATTTCAATGTGTGAAAACACTTCCCTCTGTTGTCAGATAACTTTAAATACCCAGGGCACACTGTAACTTTGAATTGGTATTCATGTTTTTGTCAGTTATGTTCTTCTATATATTTCTTTAATTTTAGTTAAACTAGAAGTCACACCCTTGCAGTCAACTAATTTGTTGTAAGGCCACATCTAACAATTCTTTTTGTGTTACACTATGAGTTTAAAAAAGGGGGCTTATATGGAAAAAAATGTAAAACTTAAACAAGATATTTATTAGTGCAACTGATGATAGATCCTATGATGGCAAAACTAATGGCAAACTGGTATCATTTTCATTTAAGATGATAGTCATATAAGAAAACAGCCATTTCAGTATTCTTGCAGAAGCTGCTTTTTGTTAGGAATTATTCTTGAGCTGGTCTCAAGAGCACACCAATTTGTACTTCGTTGTGCAATATACCTCATTTTTGGTCAACATGACATGATTGTTTTGAATCAATTTGTATTTTTATGTTGGCCAGTATGGGATCTGTATGACATTTGAATTACGTATTAGTAATATTACAATGTAATTGCTTAAAGAGCTGTTGGAGCATTGCAAGTTGGACCAAAAAATATGATAATATATGACAAAAGTGATGAATTCCACAAACTATGAACACAATTCATTTCTGTAATGTGAGAGGTTCTTTGTTTAGCATGTCATTATGATGTTATCATTTCCACAAAGCATTTATTCCAAGTGAAAGTTTTCCTGAAGAAGACTAAACAGTGAGCATGTTGAATTACTGGAGTGTTTATTTGCCCATTGCTCTAAGCAGATGCTATAAATCAATCCAGGGATTTATACTAACAGTTTTAATAATATTATGAACAAACGAAAGAGAAAAACAACAGAGACAACGTAAAAATGCATTATTTTCAGCTTTTTTGTATGAACCTCTTTTGCTCATTGGTGAATTCGCAGATATCCAATAATTAAGCATTCCTTCAAGTTTTGTTCTTTTTGTCATGGTTTTGGCTGTGACAATTGTTGACATAAATGTTTGATACTAGAAAGTATGAAAAGGGAAACAAATGCCAAGACAAAAATAAATTAGTTTTCTTGTTTAGATTTGTGTCAAAATGCAATTATACTCGGGCAGTGCTGCCAAGGGTGAGTTACTATTCTGGTAATTTGGAAAACTCTTCTAAAAAAAATAATAAATCAGTATACCTATTGAACAATATCCATTATTCATTAATTTATTTTCAATCCTAATATCCATATATTTCAATTAAATGTTGGAATTTGTGTTTTTATGTGATTTCTCGTATTTCATTACTCTATGGGACAGTGAACTCAGCCAGTGAAATTCAATAAAAACCTTGCAAAAAAAATCTGTTTTGTGACTTGCTCTCATTATTAAACTTTAAAGGAAACTGTTATTTGAAACGAAGAAAATAGGCCTATTACTACATTGTGTTTGTCTACCAAAAATATTGTTTTCATCACATGAGGGAGACGATGTAATATATAGTACATAATTATAATTAAGAGCAAACTACTTTTGTTTAAAATTTGTACTTCTATCCTGCAATTAGCTTATCATGAGCCAAGTTTTCTTTTAGTGCAATATCTCGATAGATAGCTCATATCTAATTTAGAGCTAAAACGGAAACTGATTTTGGTACGACATAAAACAGTTGTTTGTTGCTGTGATGTAAGATATGTCGTTTTTAACCCCCTCGGCTTCGCCTCGTGTGCTATGCGCCCCTCGGGTGTTAACAAGTGCGAATGCGCAATAATTTCTGGCCATCTTGCATGAAAGTCTTGCATGAAATCTATCAAGATGATCCCTGCCAGAGCTTAGAAATGTGACGCCCAAAAATGCGACGCTGATGGCACATGGAGCACCATATTTAGATGTATACCTAGATTTATAGCGATTTGTGATAAAAAAAAAAAAAACATGACTATAACATAACTGCACATATTCTGCCTCCATTTTACAAACTTTTTATAAACATCTTTCTGAATTGTTACAAACAATTTATTTTGTTAGCTTTTTTTGAAAATGAAAATTTTGTAGTTATATTTTGTGGGAAACTTATTGGGCTTCTTTTGGTCAATTTTCGGGGACAGACATAAGCAAAATAAACGCGCATGGGCATTGATCAAAACAAAGTTTGTGTTCCGAAAACCATCAGAAAGAGTGTATTTATGACGACAGCATGGCTTTTGGTCAATTAGTCAATTATTTTTGGTAATTTTTCGGGGAGACAGACCGACCGACCCACCGACAACCAAGTGACAATGTATCCTGCCAGAGCTTGAAAATAGTATATCCCATTTCACCAGTCAACTATATCAAACCCCTCCCCTAAACGCAGATTATTTACTTTGCAACTTTTAGCCAATCAAATCATCTGAGATGATTGCCATTCCCCTTAACCATTGAAAAACATAAAACAGCTAATAAAACGAATTGATGTGTTGTCACCTGTCACCTGAAAGTTTTTTGGGGGGTTACATCCCTAACTGTGGCCATAAAATGAAATTATAACGTATCAAACCTTAATTTCAAATATATCTGAACGAAATGTAAATTTCTGTACAACTACCCGCATAAATTAATAGATAATTTGACCTACAGTGGCAGTGCCTTGCCGGCCGGCCAACCTTTGACCCAATGGCGCATGACCTCTTTTTTTTTGGCATTACGTCATTATTTTCAGGTTTGCGAAATCTTCGGCCATTTTGTGCAGTCCGAGCAAACCGCGGTGGACAAATTTCAATCTTTCGACGTTTTTTCTTGCTCAAGAGCGCTCGTTAGACCACGAAAAATAACGACTGTCGCCGAGAGTTTCAGAGGTTTAGGTGTTTAGGGACATTCAGTAATCAGAAATGGCTGATTTTGACCAGTTCAGTGCGGAGCCAACCCACGAATCGTACGACAACGATTTCGAGCGGTTGGAGCCCGATTCCGCGGAGGGGAAGATGGCGGGAGAAAACCCCGAGGAAGATCTGTACTCGGCAGACCCGTCTCAGGTTCCAACGGGCGAGCTATTGTCCTTCGGTGACAACCCACCGACGACAGAAACATCCCAAGGTGGATTCGATGCGGGTTTCGGGAATCCCATCCCAGAGGCCGCGCCCGATTCGACGAGTTACGAGCCCGACAGCACGCCTCAAGCCCCGAGCGATCCGTGGGCGGCTGACCCCGTGGAACCAGAGCCTACAGCGCCTGCCGCCCCGGTACAAACGGAGCCTGAACCATCAGAACCAGTCAAAGAATATGAACCAACACCAACCCCACCTAGCTCACCGGCATTTGGTGGGTAGAAAGAATTAAATTACACATTTTAATGTTAATGTTTTAGTTTTTGCAGAAATTTGATTTTGAATAAAAATGATAAAAGTTTCAGGTTGATCTTGTTTGACCTGTTGACATTGACATGGTTTTTCAGTCTTGCAGAGCTTAAATATTATATTGAGCACTGTGGAATAAATTGCATTTAAAATGCCTCTCTTTCGACAACATCATGATTTTGATTTGATGTTAGAAATTGGTTTTTGTTTTCTTTTTTGAAGTGTTTATTTTACCGTGAACCAGCTACATGTAGCTAGCTAGGCTGCGAATTTTTTTCAATGCTAGCGTGGAACCAGACGAAGATTTGTCACATTCCCAAAAAGCAGTCCGTGCTAGTACAATACTGAAAACAACCGGGGACCGGTTCACGGTCAAATACAGTGCCATGTCTGCCTGTTTCTTAACAAACATTATAAAAAGCCATTCCCACTCACAATGAATGATTGGCATACACGCATTCTCAGTCCAAGACTTGTAAGTTTAATTTTTGGTGATGGACCATGCCTATTTTGAAGTTCTAGCAAATTTTAATCATAAATAATGCAGGCTGTTCAGTGTTAACTAAGTAATAAATCAGTCATGTCAGTGCAATACGCCAATAGCATTTATAGGGTTTTAAATCGTACTCGCATATAATTGATGCCTAGATTTCACATCTTTTAAAGCACTGAGTCATTCAACTGCAATACCTGAGGCTAGTAGTGGTACTTTTAGCAGCAGCAAAGTTTAAAACTGGAATATAAAATAATGTATAAAATGTAAATTTCTTTATTCTTGACAATCTATATAATGCTTAAGATTGGCACGGCCTATCGTAAAATTTGCATGATCAACTTTTAATCTTTCTATAAAAGGGCCGTTGCGTATAGGCCCTCGTCCATGTACATGTACAACCATCAAGCTAGTCTTGGCCCAAGACGTCAGTGATCAATAGTGATGGTTGCATTGTTGTAGAGCGCCCTTGCATAATTGTTTTTTTTTACTTTCTTGCCTAACATCTTGATAAATTTGCATCAATGGGGGCGTGGCCATATTACACCATTGGTGTAAATATTTATATCTTCAAACAAAAGGGTGGCTTCCCATTTGATATCCGTAGACATGCGCTCACACCGGGGTTATCACTGCGCTGCATATTATTGATGCTTGATCACAGCATGTAGCGCGTATGTTTACAACCGTTGGGCGAGTGCGCGCAACTAACATTTCGCGATTGCTGATTGGTTTCCTAGGAAAGCCTTGGGAGAAAATAAAGATAAACAGCTAGGCCTACTACAAATTTCCCAAGATGCGTAGTCAAGCAGGCACGCTAGTCTAATCATGCCGTTAGATTAATGCACGATTCACTATCAATCACTAGCGTCTTGGGCCAAGACTACCATCAAGCCTGAAATCATCAAAGCAGTGCTTCACAGGATTTACAGTCCTACTTTGACCTTTCCACTGAAAACTCTAAGAATCATTTCTGATGAGAAAACAAGAACCTCCTTACATCTACTGGAACTCTCTAGAAATGATGTAATCACAACTGAAATTAACATTAAAATGTTAATTTTAGTTGAATTCAAATCTCAGTTGCAAAGGTCAATTGTCTGAGACTCCAAATTCCAACCCATTGGCAAGTTGCTAACTCTCACCCATTCATGGAATGGCTTTAAATTAACAGACTGAATGACTCTCTTTTGCATTCTGCATGCTGTTCCTTTTCCACAGGTGCCCTGATTGATCCCTCCAAGATCGACCCTAGAGGTATTGTCCATTGCATAGGAATCACCATCTTACATTCTCGTTCCTCTCATATTTTCATCATTTTTTGTCAAATTTTTTTTTTTCAGTCGTGGCTTGCTCTTGAAAACAGTCATATTAATTTGTTGTTGTCTTTTGTGGAAATTGGTTACTTACTCCCTTTAATTTTCATGTATTCATAACAATATTAACCCTAACCCTCCTAGAACCTTCAAAATCCCGCAGGAGATTTTTGGAGGGTTTTGTAGGTTTGAGGAAGATGTCCAACCACTGTTACTTTACATGGGACTTGATGCTCTTTCAAGTCTTACAAAGAATGTTCCATTGGAGTTATACACTGTGGAGGATTTTGGAGGATTCAGGGGGGTTCTTTCCCAATATTCACAGATCATTGTTATGGAAAGCTGCCGGACCGGAAATTGTGCATTGAAGGTACATTTATATTTTACATTGCATTGTGGGACAGTTTGCGATGCGCAAAATCTCCATTCGTACTGCAAACTATCTCAGGATGCAATGTGCAGCATACACATGTATCTTCACTGTACACTTCCAATCTATCCGTAAAAGGGTTTACGAGTGGGGGTTAATATGGATGAAACTTTTGAGTTGACATTCATATTTTCATTGTTTTCATTGTTAACAATATTTGCATCATTGGGTCTGTGTGTTTTGTGGCCCTCTAGTGGTGAAAAGTTTTAAATCACTGTTGAGTGAGCCTGAGGGTATGGACTCCGTACACAAACAGTAGACAGCGCTTTTTTGCCACTTTTGACAGCTTAGTGGACGGGACACACCAGATATACTTGTTCACGTGATAATGGCGCGAACGTCCACTACCTTCATTTTGAATGTGCGCAAAACCATAGCGTCTTCGCGTGAGCCTCATGCGTAATCAGCAGTGCGTATGAATAACTCTCCCTAGTTGTAACTGCTCAGGGGGTACTTGTGCACGAAGTCGATTACATTTTCCATCATGTCCCCATGATGCATGGAGACATTCATTCATGTCACGTTCATGTTAGCAGACCAGGATACACTGAGCAGTCTGGTGGCACAGCACAAGGGACTTGATATACTAGGATCACTTTATCTGTTCAGGTGAACAGGTGAACCATTCTGATGCAAATTGTCCTTTGAGTTGACAACAAAGCACTCACAAGACTTAGTTCCTTCATCAAGGCCATAAGAATATGTTGATTCCATAAAAAAAAAAAATGCCCAAAGGCATAACAGTTTGCAAAAGCTTGTATTAAAGACAGTGTGACAGTGCCTTTAACACTGTCTTCAATATCTGTGTTGGACCCGGGTCCAACACAGAGATGTCGGGAACTTTAACCCCGTTCACACTAGCAAGAATTCAACACTGTTTCTGCACAGGTCCAGCACTCTACACGGGTAACATGGACCAGGGCTGGACTTTACCTGTGTAGAGCGCTTGACCCGTGTTGGTTTCTTGCTAGTGTGAAACGGGTTCACGAAATCTCCTTGTTGGATGCGGTCCAACATGCAGATTAGTATGAAAAGGCCTTAAGAACATGTTTGAACAATCATTGTTGAAACAATCAAACAATCGTAGAAAGAGTTTATTTGTGTACAAATATTCCATTGAATTTATGGAATTCTTGTATACATACAGGTACATGTAAGTGCCCCAGAAGTGTGGGCATGTTTTCTCTCGAAAGTAAACATGGGCCTCTATCTGACTCATACTAGTACAATGTATGTCATACAATACATAAGACAGGCATGCAACTTTTCCTTGGATCCACTGATTTCTCTTTTTTTACTTCTCACTCTCAGTAATGTCATTACAAATTGAAAAATACTGTACAAAGTCTTGCGTGGTTTGGAGTTTCCTCCTTTTTTCTAAATTTCCAGTTGTATGCCTTATTGCATAATGCATATTTACTTGTCTGCAAAATGTCTGCATAGAAAGCGCCCTGCATGCGGAGCAGTACTATGTTATTTCACACGAATACATGTACATGTATCTAGGTTACTTGTCAATCTTAAATGTATGCCGTAGTGTGAGTCATGGCTTAATTTATCGCAGCTTTGCGAGCAAAACACATGTAGTACCTTCTTCAGTATCCTGAATGGGGTCACAAACAGCAACAAGCTAATGGCTGCCACATTCACACTGGGGCATGATCCAGGTTTGATATCATACATGTACATGTGTGCGTGTTGGAATCGTGAAAATGCAAAAATACTGTGACATCTCAGAATGACAGGGTCCATGCAAAAGTCTTGGAAAGAAACTGTGACACTTCTTTCAATCCATCGAATGTTCAGTGTAAAGTCTAAAGCTGAAAAATTCACGTGGCTGTCATGCTTTATGCATAGTGTGCACTGAGTTATGTGTAAAATTCAGTTGTTGGAAAAGCAGCACGCATACATCCATGCATCTGTATTGCGCATTGTGCTATTAGTACTGTGCTATCCATTGGAATTTAGGTACAAAAAATGTATGTAGCGATTGAAACATATTGATGCATACAATACGCACTTAGGGTTTTTTTTTTATGTGCAACTGAAAGAAATTAAGTGGTTGGATAATATTAATGGTTGGCCTAAAAAGGAAGTAGTTTGTATGTGAATCTTATTGAAGCAAACTAGGGCCTGCCTAGATTTAGATTTTCAAATTCTCTTAAATTAATATAACATTGAATATTCATATACCGTGTGTACTTTATTGCAAAGTTAAATCTTGTTAAATGTTTATTTATGGTGCAATGTATACTTTGCCAAGCTAATCTAAATTTAATTAGAGCCCGATTTTCTACTCGCTTATCTGCTGCGTGCTCTGTATTTGAGCTTTTACGTCCGTCAAGTGTGCAGTGAAATGCATACGCATGGATTTTCAGAGTACGCATCACGGACACGCAACTGACCAGTAAACCCACAACGTAATACAAACATCAAAAACAGACACGTGGATTTTTGGTCTTAGTCCTGCATCCAATTATTAATCAATGCATTGCACATGTATACATGTACATGTACATGAAAAAAAGGAGAACAAATCCAATGATGCAGCATTGATTTTTTTTTTGTGGTTAAAACTCAAGTCTGTTGTATTGTGCAGTCTATAAACGTGAGTCATCTGAATACGTACATGAGTCTGTACCGTACATGTACATGGATTATTTAAAAAAAATTAAGCAAGGAGGAGTATCTTTTCTCTTTAGAAGTTTTACATTTAACTTGCCTGCATGCATACTTGTACGATAATCAAATCACACCTGATACATGTACACCGGATGTGTGAAATGCATTGCATACCATCGTAAAGGTAAATGAGGGTATACAGTCGGTTTGCTACAAATACAAAATGGCCTCGTGGTCTGGAGCATTGAACTCATGGTCTGCGGGTACACATTCTGCAGGCTGTGGGTTCGAGTCCAGCCTGGGGATGTGGTACATGTACATGTGCCCTTGGGCGAGACACTTTGTCGCTCATTGCTACTCCCCACCCGGGAGTAAATGGGTACCCGTGAGGGTAGAGATGGCTAGTGTGACAGATTTTAGCTGCTTTGCGCCGAAATGGTAGCATCGAGCTGTATACTCCCCAGGAAACTGAGATGGTCTTTGGAATGTTTCATTGGCCCAATGAGCAGGGATAATAGTGCCTTGAGCTCCAATAATTGTGGATATAATTATGCACTTTATAAGAAAGGCATTATTAAACACAATATTTTGCGTGCATGTACACGTGTACATGTTTCATCACAATGCCGAAGTACATGTACAAAAACCTCAGAATCATATACATTCATGTACATGTAGCCTATGAATCATCAGTAAAGGATATCTCAAGAGTTTCCCTGTAGGAAGTCAGGTCTACTGTACACGCGTCCGGTTCTATCCCTTCTCTTACATCCATTTATGAAAGACAATGACTGCTTGGGTATGGATGCACATACACATTGATTTAAAGTTGCATTTGAGCACAAGACAAGCTTAAAAACAAAACAAAATTATTTTTGCCTAAAGGTTTGCAGTCTACAAGGAGTGAGAAAAAAACCTGAAGACTTTTGAATTATTGGTCACACTTGTCTCTGAATGTTTATAGAAGTCACTTAAATCAAATCCTCACAGCATTTTCGTGTTGAATGGGTGTTTTTGCGTGTTGTTCAAGTAGTGAAAATTGTTTCTGAATTCTCAAAAGTCATTTCATAGAATTATATCCAGCATGTAAATGTTTGTCCTGCAAACAAAGAGTGCCTCACATCTTTTTATTTGCAAGAATTCAATCATCTGTCAAATTACTCCATAGTCAGCCAACTCTTTATGTTCACCTGTACCCACACATACGAAAAACCAATTTCAAAATACAAAATTTATTTAACACAATTAAAATTTGTTGTTTATTAATGCTGGATGGAAACCTGTATAAACTCTCAAAAAGCAAAAGTACCTCAGTGTATTTTGTACATGTAACTCATGTGGTCTACATGTACATGTGCTACTGAGTATGGCTTTCCTCACTATAAAACCCAGAGAACTATCAGTATCACATATAATAGAACATTCCCAAGATAAAATCATATCAAATATAAAATGTAAATTTCTTGGTTTGTATTTGAAAACATGCAGTTCTCAATCAGATTGAATGTTCCCCAGACAAAACCAAATCAAATACAAAATGTAAATTTGTGTAGTTCATAGACCTCCATCAATTTATCTCTTAACGCTATGTCCTTTCTACAAAGCATGTGAAATACCACTCTATGCCTTAGGCTTTCAGTATGGTGCTTTATTTATTGAAATAAAAACAACAATCCCGTTGTGTTTGTTGTTGCTACAGGGTTACCATATTCCTTTAAAAAAAAAAGAAGTGGTGATTAAATTTTACCGGGCAGATTCCAGCCGGCGGTAGAACGTGTCAACTGGCACTGAGAGTGTTGACATGTTAAAGGAATGTGATATGTAATCCAGTCAGAGTGTGCAATATGATGAATGTTTCAAGAGAGGAGAAATCAATAATTCCACGGATG